TCTGTTTTTTTGTGTGTGGATGACAGGACAAAGGGGGAAGGAAGAGCTCTATTTGATTAACGTATTGGTTTCAGGGCAGAGTGGCTGCCATGCTGTTTGCATTTTGGTCCTAGCAACAGGATAAACCAATGGTGTTCTAGCCTGTCTCTTTCTCTTTTTTTTCCCCTTCCCCCTCCCCACCCCACGTTCCCTCCCTCCCCACCCCACGTTCCCTCCCCCACCACAAAGGACCTTCAGATACGAGGTGATACGGCATTTCAGAGCTGGTGTCAAATGACCTCAACATCCACATCAGCAAGCGTTCATTAAACAATACTTGCACTTAGATAGCACCCTTTAGCAAGTGTAATTCCTGACTGCACAGGTTCTCGACACTAGATTACCAATACAAGGATTAATATTATTATTAATGTGTAATTGAATGAGTGACAAAGTCATGAGTTGATCCAAGTCCTGGAACAATGCAGGATGTATGTGGGTTTGGCAATTGCTTTCTATCAGACCTTTCACCAGATGTTCTGCTCAGTGATCTGAAACTTTCATTTCAATGCTGGACACCTGTGTTATTGGCCCGGGCCCAAGGGCAGGCTGTCTGATGGTTAGTTACTGACTGATTCATTGTTTACTGGAGCAGTAAGTTAACGACTTTTCTGAATAAACTGTCTGTTTGCAAAATGGGCACCATATACAATAAGCCCCCGACTTACTCCCATGTCTCTAGAATTTGTACCTTTGTACCGACAAAATACAGTCAATCCATTTTACGATATATTCTATGAATCGCTTTGAGACATCTCAACAACGTGATAAGGCGCTGTATCAATGCAAGGATTATTATTATTAGCTGGACCAGGTCTGAAACCAAAAACTGTTTAAAAAAAATTTCTGCATGTCCACGACGAGCTGGTATTGGCATTGTAATCACACTTCCAGAAATTCATTAGTCCAGCTAGCCAGACTGTGTCATGGAGTGAGTGACCAAGATGAGGGACCTTTAATGCCCACCTGAACAGGATGTTGAGACCTTGGTTTAACATCAACAACAACAACAAGATTTCATTTATAGAGAGCCTTTCACGTCGGGAGGACGTCCCAAGGCGCTGGACAGTTGGGTCAGACCTGAGCAAGGGGGAAATGGTCAGGGTGAGGGGAGGGAAGGGAGGGAACGAGGAGGGGGTAGAGAGTCGAGAGGGGAGCTGAAGGCAAGGTCTTGAGACCGGCCTTGAAGGAGGAAAGGGAGGAAGCAAGGCGAAGGCACTGGGGAATGGAGTCCTATCCTATCCGCAGGTCATCACCTCCCTCAACACAGTCCCTCCCACCCACCCCCAATACTGTGCTGAAGAGTTGACCTTATTTTATGTTGGTGTTTTATTTTATGGTGATTCATAAATTTTGTTGTACAGCTACACTCAATTTTGCCAGCATTGCATTGCCATATGCAGATGGTCACATTTGTATACACTTCTTCTGTATAAAAGAACAAAGTGGTATTTAAAGGAGAGGACCAGCAAGACTGGTTAGTCATAGAAAGCTTCTCCAACCCTGTACATTTCTACGTTCCATTCATTCCAGTGTCTAGCGCTCTGGGACGCTACCCTGCATATTGAGTACTATGTAAATGTAAATTGTTGTTGTAGTTTAATTGGTAAAACTCTCACCTCCGAGTCAGATGATTGGGGGACCATAGTCTAGACTGATACTCTAATGCAGTTCCAGGGTGCGCTGCATTGTCAGAGGTGCTGTCCTTCAGATTAGGCATCAAACTGACAAACTGCTTGTCCATAGCAATATTCAAAAAGAGAAGTGACTTGACCAAATATAAAATGAATCGTGACTTTATGGCTGTTTGTGTATGGCCACTACACTTCACATTTAAACCTGTAAAGCGCTTTGAGATGTTTCGAAGATGTGATGAGCCGTTATATCAAATGCAAGAATTATTGTCTTTGGCTTGTGCTGACTTGGCTGATCTAAGGCATGATGTTGGGTGCGGTCAGTCCTACAGTTGGTTCCAGTATCCGAGGTTGGGAAGAGGAAATTTAGCCTGGGATCAGGACTTTCTGATGAAAGGTGTGTGTGGGTGGATGTTTGTGTGACAGCCGAGTGAGGACAGGATTTGATTGTCAGTTGATGAGTCTCACAAACAAATACTCTGAGAGTCAAAGAGAAACACTACCCTTCGGATGAGTCATTAAACCGAGGTCCTGTCTGGATGTTAAAAGATTCATTGATGCAATTCAAAAAGAGAAAAGTTTCTCCTGATGTCCTGATAAACAAAGATAATTTGGTGATTCATTTCATGGCTGCTTAATAGTACAGTAGAAGGGAAATAATTAATCACCTTCAGGAATGGAGAATAGTGGAGATTTCTTTGTCTTGAGTATCTTGAGTACAAAGGAATCCCAAATCGAAGGGTGATTTGCTGCAATTCTAGTATCAATACTTACAGCAGCCTATGACATTGAGTCATCTCAGTGTTTCACACAATGAGTTACCATATGAAGTGTAAAGACTGTTTTGGAGGAAAATGTGGAAGTGTCTAAAAATAGCAAAGCGATGATTTGATCCCATTTTTTGGTGAAGCCAGATGACGGTGGAAAATGAGTCAGGATACACGTTTTATAACAGCAATACTTTTTAAGTAGCATTCTCCTCTTAAAAAATGCAATGGTGAACTGTTTTTCTGGAGGGAGCTGTGGGTATTTAATATTTATAACGTCCCTTGGTTGGTAGTTGAACACGGAAGTCAATAAAACTGAAGCCTGCTGTTAAAAAAACACAATGTTCAAGTGGGACATGTCACGCAGGGCTGAGGATACATTTCCTCTTTGTGAAGCTGTGGTTTTGTCTGCATTGCATTTTAGTAGCTAAGCACGAGATTAGTGCCTCAGCAGTCCGCGCCCAGCCACCACCCCCCCCACCCAACCCCCACACCCACAATTTGTTGTGTACTTTTTTTAAAAAAAGAACATAAATAGCTCAGTCAATCTGATTTTCATTATTTTAAGTATTTGATCCCGTGGTTGGGTTGGAACTTGACAAAGAAGACTGAGAAAGACGAGGAGAGGAGAGATGTTAAGAACGTGCAATTGCATTGAACCCCTTAATTAGAATTATATCATTAACTAATTAAAATAAGATTCAGTATTATCATCTAGTAAAATGTAGAGGCCGCAAAACTGAACCTTTGCAGGGGCTCCAGACCTTGGGTTTAGTTGACTCATCGACAATAGCTAAGGTACACCAGAGCACTGGTTCAGTAAGTAAAGGTCCATTTCAGGATACACTACAGAGTATTTCTTTACACAGAGGGTAATTTAGCGAACAGACAGATTATCAGGAACGGTACTAAAGATCTGTTTTCAGTTAAGAAACAGCGTGTTGCTATATTGGGAGGTTAGTGGGGCGGGTGCTCTGAAAGGTTGAATCAAATGGACTAAAGAGACCTCTTCATCTGAGTGTATCTTCTGACTTAAAAGACAACTTGGAAAATTTCTGATCAAATAAAACATGTGACCATGTCAGAAACAAATAACAGAATGAACATAAAGAGACGTTTGAAACAAACTCCCTTTTCACATTTTGTGTAGCACTTTTCACATGAAAGAAACTTCTTTCTTTTTAATTAGTTAACGATATCATTATACTTAAGGGGTTTAATTAGGTGTCAGCCTGTCTCTGGGTCAGAAGATTGCGAGTTCAAGCCTCAGATCTTTGAACTTGCATAGTCAAGACTGACACTCCAATACAGTGCTGGAGGGGGTTGGTGGATTGTCGAAGATAATAATAATAATAATAATCCTTGCATTTGATATAGCTCTTTTCACGTCTTCTAGACGTCTCAAAGCGCTTCACAGAATATGTTGTAAAGTGAATTGACTGTATATTTGTGGGCGAAACGCAGCAGCCAATTGCGCACAGCAATGTCCCACAAACAGTTGTGGTTTGAAAATGACCAATTTGTTATTGTTTTGGAAAGATTATTAGGCGTGTGGAGTAAGGAAACTTGCCCAAGGTTTTGCTCTGCCTGACATTGAACCCAGGTGTCTTGCTTGCAAGGCGAGTGCTCTAACCACTGAGCTACAGGACTCTATCCTTCATAGAAACAGGAGTAGGCCATTCAGCCCCTCAAGTCTGTTCTGCCATTCTATAAGATCATGGCTGATCTGTACCTCAAATCCAATTACCCACCCTTGACCCGTATCCCATAATACCCTGACCTAACCTATTTATCCACCTCAGTCTTGAAGACGTAAGTGGATCCAACATCCACAGCCTTTTGGGGGAGAGAGTTCCAGATTCTCTCCTCAAAAAGTTCCAAAGAGAGATTTTTCAGATGAGACATTAAACCAAGGTCCCGTCTGCCTATTGAGGTGGACCTTAAAGATCCCCATGGCATTATTCAAAAGAATTGTATATGTACAATGGTTCCATTTGCATATTTTCTCATTATCTGATATAGGGGAGGAAAGGGGAGCAATCCATTCAATGTGCTACTTTCTACTAAAGTAGAATAGTTATTGTACATCCTAATATCCATATCTTGTCTACCACTTTTTGCGAAGATTAAGACTGGTGGTCCTGGATATTTAGTAGCCATGCTATCAAATGGTGGTGTTAAGATGTTCAATTCTGGTATGACCAAAATCTTCAATGAAGACTAAATACTTCAATGTGTGTAGTGTCTTGTTGCATTATGTCTACATCCTACTTCCCCATTGTCTCTACCTCAAATGTACTTCTGATCTACTCTCTAATAGGACAGCAATTGAATAGAACCTGAACTTGCAATGGAATACAAATTTATATTTATCTACTGTAGCTCCTTTCACATCGAGAGGATGTCCCAAAGCGTTTAGATATTTGCCCATGTGAAGGTTTAAAATAGTTCTTTCCTCTCCGTTATGTTTATTGTCAAGTTGCTTGTTGTCTAATCGCTCTAATGTTGTTGGGGGAAGGGGGAGGTGAAAGCTGTACCTAACCTTCTGTTTGTTTCACAGGCTCGGGCAGAGAGCATTTGTCTTGTTCATCACTATATTGCTCCACTGCAAGAATCAGCAGGCTTTTCCCATCACTAATCACTGACCATTACTGAGCTGAAAAATGGTTGGATTCAAGCCCACAGATGTTCCTCCGACAGCTGCAGTGAAGTTCATTGGCGCTGGCACAGCTGCTTGCATCGCTGACCTGTTCACCTTCCCTCTGGACACCGCTAAAGTCAGATTACAGGTGAGATCCTAACTGTGATTTGGTGCCAATCCAGGTCATGGCTGATTTGAGCCAGAATAAATGCCACTTCCTGTTGCATGTGGTCCTTGGTGCAGTGAAGCGTTTGGAGTTGATTCCAAATCATTAACATTTTATCAGTTAATTTATGAACCAGTTAACTTTACCAATCTCCATGGTCTTACTCCTCCCTAACTCTGCCTCCTATTAAAACTTCACCAACCTTCCTCTTCAAATGTCATCTTCCCTCCTCCACCCCTCTCTGGTCCCAACCCGCAGCTCGGTTGCAAATCCCTCATTGTCCAGCTCCTTGGGATGTCCTCCCAACATGAAAGGCGCTGTATAAATGCAAGTTGTTACTATTGTTTAGGAAACGCAGTTTGCCTTTCTTCTCGGTGTTTAGCTTGGGTTAACTTTGGTGGTGGTAAGGAATCAAAGTGGACAGTGACGCGAATGACAAATAATAAAATCCGATGCTCATTAAAACCTTTACTTACCATATTTCTGTGTATGTAATTTCTTTACAAATAGCGATTTGCACGTCCTCAGCTGGAGTTGCCCTGTGATGACCAGACCTGGATCGGTGGTGCCTAAATATTAGACTAGTCCACATGTGAGTTGGGTTCAGCCCAAATCACCCAAACGTCAGTTCATCTGATTTTTGTCCTGCACAGATTCAAGGAGAATCAAAATCTGCTGCAGATGTCACCACCTTGAAGTATAGAGGAGTCTTTGGCACCATGGCCACAATGGTCAAGAACGAGGGGCCAAGAAGTCTCTACCGTGGCCTGGTGGCTGGTCTGCAGCGTCAGATGAGCTTTGCCTCTGTGCGCATTGGGCTTTATGATTCTGTCAAGCAAGTCTACACCAAGGGATCTGACCGTAAGTAAAGGGTCATGCATTGGCTCTGCATTTGATCAGTGGTCCAGGAATGCACCACTGTCTCCCAGCCTCCCATTGATCTATCTACATGGGGTTATGCATTAGCTTAGCTGTTGATGTAGAGAGGGTACATGGCAAGTTCACATTGCTACATAGCTAAAGAGCTGGGGAAGTCATATTAAATTTTCGGGCTCCACTGAAGGAAGGCTAGAAAAGCCCTTTGCACAAACAGATCAGGGCACAACTTGGAAAGTAAAATGAACTGAAGGGGAACAAAAGTGTTTTTACACAAAGGGGTGGTTGGAACATAGAATTTTCTGCCATGATCTTGTAGAGGAAAAAAGAAATTAGAAAGAGGCTTGAATCTTAAAGGTTATGGGGAACCAAAGGGGAGAGTGGATTAGATTTGTTGCAGAAAACAACTATAACTTGCATTTATACAATGCCCCTCATGCAGAGTAATGTCCCAGAGGGTTTGGTAGTGGCAGAGCACGATGCTGAGCTGGGGGGAGATGTCTGTAGACATGGTCGAAGAGGAAGGTCTAGTTGGAGTTATCTTGCAGCTCAGCAGTTGATGTAGAGAGGGTAGATGGCAAGTTCACATTGCTACAAAGATAAAGAGCAGCGAGTTGATATTAAGCACTCTGAGACACTATCCTGTGTGGAGGACACTATATAAGTTGCAAGTAGTTGTTAAACACCTCTGTTTACCTAGCAGTAAGTCTGAACTCGGATGTGATAATCCATCCTGGAGTTCCTGTAGCTTAGTGGTTAGAGCACTTGCCTCACAAGCGAGAGGACGTGGGTTTGAATCCTGGGCAGGACGTAACATTAGGCAAGTTTTTTTTTTAAACTCCATACGCCTCTGTTAGTTAACAATAAGTAAGATACTGGTTGTTTGCCGATTGGCAGATCGCTTTTCCGGGGATAATAATCCCTTTTAAAAAAAATAAACAAAATAACCATTTTGTCACGAACGGGACATTGCTGTGTGCAATTGGCAGCTCCATTTCATCCACAAAATACAGTCAATTCACTTTGCAATATATTCTGTGAGACGTCTCGAAGATGTGATAAGGTGCTAAATCAAATGGAAGGATTATTGTTATCCATACGTGCTCATGTTGGGATAACTAACTGGTTGATCGTTTGCCCTTTTAGATGCTGGTGTTGGCAGCCGCCTACTGGCTGGATGCACCACCGGAGCCATGGCTGTGGCCTTTGCTCAACCCACGGATGTGGTAAAAGTAAGGTTTCAAGCACAAACCAGCAAATCTGGTCCCAGCAGAAGATATAATGGCACTATGGAAGCCTACAAGACCATTGCTAAGGAAGAGGGTGTTCGAGGGCTTTGGAAAGGTTTGTAATTGAAATTTTTTCATAGAATCTTACAGCACAGAAGGAGGCCATTCGGCCCGTTGTCCCTATGCCAGTTCTTTGAAAGAGCTATCCAATTAGTCTCGCTGCCCTTTTACCCCATAGCCTTGCAATTTTTCCTTTTTGAGTACCTATCCAATTCCCTTTTGAAAGCTACTATAAAATCTGCTTCCACATCCTTTCAGGTCATAACAATTCTCTGCATTTTTTTTAAAAACAGTAAATTCTCATCTCCCCTCTGGTTGTCAATTATTTTAAACTGTGCTCTGGTTACGGACCCACCTGCCAGTGGAAACGGTTTCTCCTAATTACCCTATCAAAACCCATCATAATTTTGAACACCTCTATTAAATCTCCCATTAACCTTCTCTACTCTAAGGAGAACAATCCCAGCTTCTCTAGTCTCTCCACGTAACTGAAGTCCCTCAACCCTGGTAATTTTTTTTTCCTCAATTTTCTTTGCACTAGCATAATGCCTCTCCTGGACCCCAGCCTCCTCTTGCTGTGGTGCAGTTCTACAGGCTCTGGTTGGTCCTCTGTTACACTGCCCAAGTGGCTGTTGTTCACGTGTGAACCTTTGCAGTGAGTGGCGGCTGCCCACACGACTGTAGAAGGCATCATAGCTGAGCCTGACCTCTCCCCACTCAGCTACCACATGTGCACAACCAGTAGTTGGACTTGTAAAAGAACCAGGATCAGGAACCCTGACTGTTTGTCGGCTCCCTGATCCTGGGAAGACCAGGGCTAATTATCCTCCCCTTGTGGCTGAGACCAGGATTCAAATCGGAGAATTCTTGGTCTGTAAATGTTTCAGTATGTTTCTAAAATCTGTTTCTTTCCACTGCGCCTTCAGGAGCTATACGTTGCAGCACTACTCTTCACTAATCTAGAATGATGTTTCTTTTGGAGAAGAATTCGAAATATTTAGCATTTTAAATGATTACCTTTGATGCTGTTGTGATTCATAATCTCAACCTCTAACTCCAAACTTTGCTGACAGGTACTTTTCCAAATATTGCCCGTAACTCCATCGTGAACTGCACGGAGCTCGTAACTTACGATCTGATAAAGGATCAGTTGCTGAAGAATGACTTAATGACTGGTAAGTGCTAATACCAGGGTATAGTACATAGGTCCTATCATCACTGAATAAATAAACCTTTTTACATAAACTGCATTGAATGACCAATTTTATATTGAGGGAGGGATGGAATTGTTAGCCAGGACCCTGGGAGAAAGCCCTTCTCCCTGCTCTGGCCTAAGCTCTCTGGGATGCTACGCCTCGTGAGGGCACTATATAAATGTAAGTTGTTTTTTGTTCTTTCAAATAGTGCCAATGGATCTTTGACATCAGTCTGCATAGGCAGATGGGACCTCGGTTTAATATCTCATCCAAAGCACACTATGTCAATAGTTGTTTATTTACCAGTATCCTCCTGACTTCCTTGCAGGAAGGTGTTGTCGCTTGCTGGAATACAGACACTGGCAGCTACCCAGTTGCTCTATAATGGCCATTCAGCATGATTCATGAGTAACTGCAGCAGTGAACAGTGGCAGGCGGTTGGGACTGGGAATAGATTGCAGCTGAGCCCAATCCTGTTGGCAACAAGCATGCTTTTTTTTTGCAGGGGAGAATAGCAGCAGCTATTAGGAGCTGTAAATGATTCTCTCGCTCTCTCTCCCACATCCTGTGCACTAAAAATCATTTCGGCTTACTCCCACAGACTGACAATTGAAATTTGCAGCCTACCTTCCAGGTCATTAACAGATTATTTCTGTTGACCAACCTCCTGGTCCATGACTAGTTCTGGGAAGACTATTAACATGAGGTACTGAAAAAAGCAAACCAGCTCGCTAAGTTGGTCTGCTGTGAAGAGTCCTGTAGTACATAGGTTAGAACACTTGCCTTGCAAGTGAGAGGACCTGGGGTCGATTCCCAGGTGGGGCAAAATGTCAGGCAAGTTTCCTTATTCCACACGCCTATGTTTTACCTGGAAGTAAGTAGGAACACGGTTGTTAGTCAATTGGCAGATCGCTTTTCCAGTGGTAATAATCCCTTTAAAAATATTAATAATTTGGTCACTAAATCCATGACTGTTTGTGGGACATTTTCTGTGTGCAAATTGGCTGCATTTCATCCACAAAGCATACAGTCAATTCAGTTTACAGTATATTCTGTAAAGCACTTTGACAGGTCTTGAAGATGTGATGAGTTATTTTCAAACTCTCCTCTTTGTTGTCTTCATTCAGATAACCTTCCGTGCCACTTCTCTTCTGCATTTGGTGCTGGATTCTGCACGACTATTATTGCTTCGCCTGTCGATGTAGTGAAGACAAGATACATGAACTCTGCCCCAGGCCAGTACCGCAGTGCCTTAAACTGTGCCTTCACCATGTTCACAAAGGAGGGTCCTACAGCCTTTTACAAAGGGTACGTAAGGGCTGATCATTAACAGTTTAATAACAAAAGTCATAATTGTTCATTCTGTCCCACTTCTTCTGAACCTAAACTATCTCTCTGGCTTATTGGAGACATCCATGGTAATACAAAGTGGAAGCTTTTGGAGGACAAGTGGTCACTAACAAACTATTAATAATAATCCCTCCAAAACCCAAAACAATAATAAATTGGTCATTTTCAATCTACGACTGTTTGTGGGACACTGCTGTGCGCAATTGGCTGCCGCGTTCGCCCACAAATATACAGTCAATTCACTTTACAGTGTGTTCTGTGAAGCGCTTTGGGACGTCCTCCCGACATGAAAAGCGCTATATCAAATGCAAGGATTATTATTATTATATTTCAACTACACTTTTCACCCTAAATTACTAGTACCGTGTAGTCTTGCTAACAACAATTTGCATTTGTATAACACCCTTCATATAACATCTTAGAGCACAAAAAGGACAATAAGTTTAAATTTTATGTGCATATTACTTTTTAATCAGTAGCACTCTGACAGTGCATCACACACCCAACACTGGAATGTCAACCTAGACTATGAATTTAAAGCTCTGATGTCTTAAACCCAGAATCTTCTGACTCTTGTCAGAGTGCTACCATCTGAGCCAGGTTGACACTCAAAATCCCATGTCACTATTTGAGAAGAGTTTCTCCCAGCGTCTTGGCCAACAATCAATCTCCCAGATTAAAATTGGTCATTTCGCTGCTATTTATGGGACACTGCTGGGTGCAAATTAACTGCTGCATTCACCTACAAAACATACAGTCACTACACTTTACAGAATAACTTGTGAAAAGCTGCCCTCTCTATGTGAAAGGCAGTACATCAAATGCTATTATTTATCAGTTGCTGTAGGCCGAATGAATGGTTAAGCCCATTCACATTTTCAAGATGTAGATCGATAGATATTTGTTGGTTAATGGTATTAAGGGATATGGGGCAAGGGTGGGTAACTGGACTTGAGTTACAGATCAGCCATGATCTTATAAAATGGTGGCAGTCTCAAGGGGCTAAAGAGCCTCCTCCTGTTTCTATGTTAATAATAATAATAATCCTTACATTTGATATAGCGCTTTTCACGTCGGGAGGATGTCCCAAAGCGCTTCACAGAACACACTGTAAAGTGAATTGACTGTATATTTGTGGGTGAACGCGGCAGCCAATTGCGCACAGCAATGTCCCACAAACAGTCGTAGATTGAAAATGACCAATTTATTATTGTTTTGGGTTTTGGAGGGATTATTATTAGGCTCTGTGTGGAGTAAGGAAACTTGCCCAAGGTTTTGCCCTGTAACTCATCACCTATGCAGACTGCCAGTTACATTGACTCCACTACAGCTATTCAATATTCCTCCTAACTCTCCACCCCATATGGTTCGACTTGTTTAACATGTGCTCAAATGTATTGAATTGTATAATAGCTTCTTTCTATTTTAAGTGCGCGATATTGCACAACGTCCTGATGTAGGCTGGCAATTTCCATTTACTGGCGTTTTAAAATACCGTGCAGCCCTGCTATAACTAACTACCTGAAGCCCTGCTTCACTAATTTACTTATGATGCAATTTCAGTGTAGATCCCATTTGTTTCAAATGAGGATCACTTGTCATTTTAATGTCTCCACAGCAACACCATTCATAAATCCAATTAATTCAAAACTCCGCCTGCACCAAACTTTGTATCCCCATCATCCAGTAATTGCCGGGCTTCACTGGCTCCCTATTGCAGAAAGGATCAATTTCAAGATCCTCACACTTGCGCATTCATCGCTTTATGCCCTGGCACCTCCCTAACTCTCTGACCTGTTTACACTCCACTACCCACCTCCTTAGCTCAGTTGTCTCCCCTCCACTCCACCATCAGTGGCTGTGCTTTCAGCCACTACGCCCCCAAACTATGGAACTCTCGGACTTGCTTCCTTCTTGCCCAACTTCGAATCCTTCCTCTTCGACCTTTGGTCACCTCCCTCCGGCTCAGTGTCAAGCTCCGCCACTGTTAACCGCTCTGTTGTTGTTGTGTCTAAAGGATGGCACCTCAAGTGATAAAGCGTTCCTCCAGCACTGCGTTGGAGCGTCATCTCAGACTGTGAGCTAAGCGCTCTGGGACACTACCCCCGCATGAAGGGCGCTATACAACTTACAACCTTCCGACTCCTACTGAGCTAGGCACAGAAAACGTCCCATGTATACAGGTTCATTCTCAATACATCTTTCTTCTCATTTCAGGTTCATGCCATCATTTCTACGTCTGGGGTCATGGAATGTGGTGATGTTCGTCACCTATGAACAACTGAAACGAGCTATGATGACAGCCAGATTCTCATAATGAACTCTCCTCTGTGAACATGAATGTTGCTTAGTTTGCCTATTGCATTTGCACAACCTGTATAACAATAGCAAGGCCTTAATTCCCTACCTCTTTCCCAGAAGTTTGCAGTTTGGATATTTGCTCAAAGTAATAGCGTTGAGTAGGTTTCAGAAATCTTAGAAAGAAGCCAGGGTTTCGCAACTTGTGCCATTGTCTGCATTGCATGGTATTTTAACTTCTGGTTTGTTGTATTTGATATATAATTGTTCAATGTATTCCAGCCTGTTTATACTGTATTTTAGTAACCAAACCATTTGATGTGCCTTGAATAGTTATGTTACTTAGGACTGACGTGCATTGTCTCAGCAAATATTTCTTCCTATTTTTCTATGAAATGAAGGTGAATTTCTCTGAATTATAATCTGAACGGGTAAACCAAAATTAGCTGCTTAATACAGAATGGTTAAGGTAATTTTATCACCTATCCAGATTATTATAACGGTACATTGAATCTATTGTAGATGTTTTACTTCTCTGTCCTCCCTCTCCCTGCCCCACTATAAGCTTTTTTTTTAATACAAATCGTTCCTAGGAAAATAAATGTCTTAAATCAATTTGAGCTGAATTTCACTGTGAGGCAAAGTACCATGCAGTCTGGAGTGGCAGTGCTTGACTTTGATAGGTTTTAATAAAACTGTTGATTATTAAAACACTCCATTAGTATCCATGTTGCCTCTGAAATTAATAAACTGGTTCTCATTCTAAAGTGTGGATTTTTTAATATGTTTTTTGGTTTAAACTTTAAATGAACACTTTCGATTTATATACTGAGCAGCTGTTCAATGCGTAATTTCTTTGTCAAGATTTGCTTAACAACAACTACACCCTCAGCCGTTCTGACGAAGGATCGTGGACCTGAAACGTTGACTCACATTCCTTTCTCCATAGATGCTGCCTGACCTGCTGAGTGTTCCCAGCAACTTCTGTTTTTGTAACAACAAATTACATTTGTATGGCATCTTATCACGTTGCGAGGATGTCCCAAGATGCTGAGCAGTCGGGGATTTGGACCCGAGCTGGGGTTTGGGATCAGGAGAGGTGGAGGGTAGGTATAGGAGGTGTGGTTGATGAGGGGGACGTGGAGCAGGCCAGAGCCCACTGAGTGGAGTGAATGGACAGATCGATATGGGTTAGCAGGTCCCAGTGATGGGGTGTGGTGAGGCCATGGAGGGCTTTGAAGGCAGAGACAGGGTTTTTGAACTCCATCCTCTTGAGAATATAGAACCAAACAGGAATATAAATAATAGGATCAGGTTGAAAAGGTAAATCTAGTCATTACTGTATGACTGTTTCCTTTTGAGATTAGGAGCAGGAATCTGGCTCCAAGTACCAACTATGCCTTTCCAAACATTGCTGCAATTCAAGTCTTTCCACTGTGGTTGAGGGCTGCAACTAAGCTTTTTTTAAAATAAATCTTCATGGTTTTGCACAATACATTTGCTATCAAGGTGATACTTGTATTTAGTTGTCTCTATGGTAGGTTTCATGTACAGATGGCCGGTGAGAGAAATTATTTTGCATTTGTTAGATCTATGTGGGTTTTTAATCTTGCATCATTTTTCTTGCTCTTTGATGTTTGTCTTCTGTCGGTGGGTCCCATAAATGCACTCTGGTATCTCTCTCAAGGAGCCATTATTCATGTGCGGACTTGGATTAGACTTGGGAGACTTTGTGTGAGGCATTGTCGAGATGGGCTGAACCCGAGCTTGGCAAGAAATCCACCACTTGTACAGCTCCATGCGGAGTCGCTGGATGCAGTTCTGGAGTGGGAATCTGGCCAATATTTTAATTTGCCAAAAAGCTTATAGAATCGGATTTAGTAACCTGGATGCAGTTTACAACCATTACAGCTCTTGGCAAAGGGTACATATTGTGATGTATTCAGTGTTCCTTGTTACTTTATGTTGGCATAAATGACTAAGTGATGGCTCATTCCACTCAGAGGATGGGACTCTTCCTCTGTAAATACAATACAAAATTGCATTTGTATAGCGCCTTTCATGTCAGGATAAAACCAGATGGTTGCCGTCATCATTGATATGACTGAAGTGAGGTGTGCTTGTATTATAGCCTTAAAAGCAATTTCTAGGTTATTTTATTACCTTATTTATTTGTTATTGCTGTTAATATTGATTTTTCTAGGGTTAATCTACCAAAGGAGGTTGCAGCACAATTTGCTTTCTACCCTGTCAAATATTACCTTTATTCTACTGATTACTCCCGAGGTCCCGATCAGTTTAAAAGTTATTTGTTTGGCTGAGGAGTGCACTGATTTGCCCCCTTCTTGACAGATGAACCCTGGAAAATAACTGAGCAGAGATGCTTTTGGAAAGTACTTGTAAAGTCCTAGAATTTACAATTGTGGTCACTGAAGCAGAAATAATTCACTTCACTGACACCTTGTGGTCAACTAGATTGGTGGTCAACAACAACTTGCATTTACATAGCACTCTTCACCCAGAGTAATATCTCCATGTATTTCAGAGATGAGGCTGGTCACTGAACTAGGAGAGAAGTGGGTGGAGGGGAAAGGAGAGATTAAGTTGATGCTGAGCCAGGAGCAGAAATAGAGGTGACCACAGGTGTACTATAAGGCATAAGTAATGCTTTAAATATCACATATTTTAGCCCCAAATGTTTAAATCAGAACTGCACTTAAGATGGCGCTGACATTTTGGACTGTTTTAAGATCATTCTGCTAGTTGTATCTTTTACAGACCAACTGATTTAAAGTTTTCACTCTTCCCTGAACCCATGTTGGGATATGGTTTTACAGATCCTGGCAAATCTCTTTGCACCTCATTTATGTGAGAAAATGTGCCGTGAATGTTGAGAGGCTATTTCACTGTAATGCAGCCAAGTCCAATCCTGCAGCTGACGGCACCATCGAAGTGTCATGCAATATAAATTTACATTCTCCCTGCTAAGGTGCTATATCAAATGCAAGGATTATTATCTTGGCCTGAGGCAAACTAGTACTTTGTCTTACACTCTGCCATCCCCACCACCCACCTCCATTGCTGCTGCAACTGAGATCAACTAACTCAGTGCAAGCTGAAAACTCCAATACCTCACAAAATTGGTTTGGATGAAGAAGGCCCTTTGGTCCATAAAATCTCATCCAGAATACCCACTCTAATGCCCACCCATCACATGTGTCCAAAATGATAGCTTCACTCACTAAGTCATTCAAGTGCCTGAATTCTGCTATTTGAAATATGTAAAGTATATTGATCTGCAATTCATATGCAGGCAGGGAGTTGATTTTGGATAAACTGGGATTCTGATGAAGAGAAAAGTAGACAGAGGAAGGAGTGTCAGCCTGCTGTGACCACACCATCAACTGGATCATCTCTCATCTGCCACAATTATGGTAAAATGCGTTTCTACAAAGACACCAAATTGCCCAGCGCAGACTCTGCCAATCCTAAAACTCTTAACCCTCTGTTATCTTTGAAAAAAGATGAGGAATAATTTACTCAATTATCAAGGGATTGAGCCTCAAGTTATGTTGCACATACTCTAAACAGTACTACCATGAATGTAATGTGATTCAGCCACAGAGAAAAAACTATGTAGTTTTTCTGATCCTCGATGCAAATAGAGTCCAACCAGCGAAGCATTTTTCAGAAATGACTTTATAAATTCTATACACTTTGTTATAAATGAATAAGCACATTGTAAATAGACACTGAGAGAAGCATATCTGGAGAGAATTAGTAGAGCTCCTGCTTGCTGCTGACTCGTCATGGCTGCAATGCTTTATTAATCATCTTCTTCTTTTGGGGGGTGAGTTGTTCTGGGAAAATTATGTCAAACTGGATAATAAGGTTTCCTTTATCTGTGGCAATTTGGGTGATGGGCATTCCTTCCATTGGTACCACTTTACAGTATTTAGGACTGGAAAAAGAAAATAAACATTATTACTAGAGCTCTTTACAGTATATTTTTAGAAAAGTATAATCCTATTTTGTTCCAGAGGGAACTTTTCAGATGATGATTTAAATCAGGATTAAGAGTTACTGGCATGTGAACCATTATTAATATGCAGGCAAGGCTCCAGAAATATAAAGCAATGATGAATAATTGTCTAATATTTTAGTTTTTGTTTCTTTCTGAATAAGTGAGCCCACAGAGTTACTTGTGATGAAAAAAGATTTGAAAGGTTAACATCAAATGTTATACACCCACTAACCTTCTGAACCAATATATTCCATTACTGATTTCAATCTTGCATTTAAAATGTTAAACTTTATCATTTATAACATAATTGCAACTCAATGCTCATGAATTTTTATTGAAAGTATTAAATTTAGCTAAAGGAAAAAAGAACGCACAAAATACAGCAGATAAGTTGACTCACGTTCCTTTCTCCACGGGTGCTGCCTGACCTGCTGAGTGTTCCCAGAGACTTCTGTTTTAGCTAAAGGAATTTTATAACCTTGACCACACAACACAATATACATTCATTTTTCCACTAAGCAATTGGATATTATCAATCAATAAGCAAGACACCACAGTCGCTGAACGGGAGGGTGTTCCGTATCAAAAATTAGAAGCATTTTGGCCCCTAATATTCAGCTACACTTTAGAGTATTTATGACAACAGCAACTAGCATTTGTATAGCACCCTTCGAGCAGGGCAGCATCTCATAGCACTTAACAACTGCTACTGGTAACCAAAAAAAACAAAATGAAACTCCCCATATAAATATTACAAAATGTAGCAGAAACACAGATGTTAATATCATTGGAGGGTTCAGCGTAAACCATTCAGCCACCTCTCACTGCACTACTGGAAGGGTTTGAAGCTGTTTCGGCCCCAAAGTCAGAGGTCAAAGCTCTCAGTACTTCTGTTCATAGAGGACAGTGGATTCTATCAACTGAAAATAGAATCTCAGCTTAAATCTCTGGCATTCTGTAAAATCAGCTTCACATGGTGTAGCGGGAGAAACTGTAACCGCTTGTCTCAAAATTATGGTGGCAACTGAAATTCAAATAAAGGTTTAAATAAGATTCCTATGGAGCCAATCACTGTCCCAAGATTGCAGGGAAATTCAGAGTTGAAATCATTTGATAATTTTGCCCTAATTGATTCAAATATGGATATTGATTTTGTTTTGGTCAGCCTGACATACACGGAAGCCCATTACCATGTCTAAGAGTGTCCAAGCCAGATTGAGAGTTTCACGTAGGGATGGAAATTTCCCTTTGTGTGGGATAGAGTACACACTCTCTCCTTTGCCACTGTTAACATTAGCAAACTTCCCTCTGGATTTGCAGCTTGGGGCATGTTACCCATTAGGGCTTTGGCTTGAAAGGTTAAGTGGCAAGAATCCTTGGGCACGGGAACTGCTTCAAGTCCTGCGTGGTCTGTCATCAACAGAGTAGGGGACCTGCCTGACTCACAAATCAAATCAGTGAGAATGTCACCCCTGCCTAAGGATGGTACCAGTTAGATACCTCACAAATGCAAAACTACACTATTAAAAATGCAATGAAATGTTGCAAATTTTACCCGATCGAGACATTGAAATTTTGTAATGTAAGCTAACTCACTTTCACAATATATTATCAAAGTTACAACCGTAAAGTGCCTCTCAATAAAGTGCCTTTGTTTGAGATGTTTTTACATCAACGGCACTATTTAACTGCAAGTTGTTATTTGAAATAATAATGTACTGCCATAAGTGCAATATTCTGAAATTATCCCATAATTTATGTAAAGAGTTAATAGGGACTGAAACATAAAGCACATTATTATTGAACACATTTTAAAAAATAATTCTGTAGCAACTTGTAATCAATAAAAATGTTGAGATTCTAACACTATTTTAACATGTCTACAGATTGATTCCGACTGTTGTATCTGCATTTTACTGTGCAAGAAATCATATTCCCCACAGATTTGTCAGCATCCTGTTTCAGGGTATGTTACTTGTACTGTGTGTTCAAAGTGAATCTCATCATTGGTATTCCATTTGCACCTTTGTTTAATGTGCACATTCATTTTTCGGAAACATTTTAATCATTGAAGCTCGGTAAATAAAGGCTAACTAATAAACCTCCAAAGATTAAAAAAAAAATACCATAAGCACATCTATTGTTCTGTGCTGCACAAGTGAAGCCTTTCTGCTTTGTGATTGACTGCCCAGAAATACTCGAATCTGGAGAGATGCCACAGCACAGCAATTGTGAAAGACCCCTTCCTTTAGCTCTTAGATCATTTCCAAAGCAATCTGATGATGAATGTAATTGTACTTTGCAGATGCAAGAAATACCTACCATCTGTTCCCTTGATCCTTTACAAACCAGCTTCTGGCAATCCAACTATCCCTTTCTTGCCTCATGTTAGTATATAATTTTTTTAATATACACTTCACAGTAAATACTGTGAAACACTTTGAGATATCCTTGCAATGTGAAGGATACTATATTAATACAATATAAATTTACATTTACTCACTGCCTTTCAAGTCAGGAGGATGTCCCAAGGTGTTTAATAACAACAATAACTTGCACTTATAATAGCGCCATCCACGCAGGACAGAGTCTCAGAGCGCTTAACAGTGGCGTAGTCTGACTCTGAGCCGTGGGGAGGTGGCCGTAAGCACGGTCGATCAGGAAACTATTCAGGCTGGACTTGAAAGAGGGGAGGGAGAGTGGGAGGGAGAGTGTTCCAGAGTTTCAGGGTGTAGTGGCTGAAAGCGCGACCTCCAATGGTGGGACGGAGGGTGCGAGGGACGAGCAGGAGGCAGTTGAGTGGAGGCACCAGGTGGTGGATTGGGGAGTGAAGAGGTCAGAGAGATAGGGAGATGCCAGGGAGTGAATAGATTTGAACACAAGAGTGAGGATCTTACCAGTAACAATACCAGTTTGGCACCTGAGCCGAGGGGAGTGGGGAGGGGAAAAGTGACTGAAGGCATGATCAAAGAGATAGATCTTAAGCCGGATCTTGGTTAAGGTGAAGGAGGGAGCGAGTTTGAGGGTCTCTAGGAGAGAGTTCTAGAGATTGTGGGCAGAAACCCCGAAGGTCCACCCATCGATGGTGGGGTGGGTAGGGTGAGGAAGGCAAAGCAAAGTACCCTGTACAAAAACTTAGAAACTTATTGTCCGGATCAACGTTACCAAAATAAGCGTATTGGAACCATGAAACAACAACAAGATTTCATTTGTAGAGCGCCTTTCACGTCGGGAGGACGTCCCAAGGCGCTGGACAATTGGGTCGGGACCCAAGCAGGGGGGAAATGGTCAGGGTGAGGGGAGGGAAGGGAGGGAGCGAGGAGGGGGTAGAGAGTCGAGAGGGGAGCTGAAGGCGGCCTTGAAGGAGGAAAGGGAGGAGGCGGCGAAGGCACTGGGGGATGGAGTTCCAGAGCCTCGGGGCTGAGAGGCTGAAGTCCCGGCCACCGATGGTAGGGCGGTTGGGGCTCGGGATGTGGAGCAGACCGGAGCCAGAGGAACGGAGGGTACGGGCAGGTAAGTAGGGGGATAGTAGGTCGGAGAGGTAGGAGGCCATGGACAAAGTCACACAACTTCTAGGTTCTTTGCCTGGCTTTTGCAGTCATTAATTCGGAAGTCAAGACTGTGAAAATAAATAGTTTTCTTCATTGTACCACTCGCAGTATGGCATCACATGTTCCATAGATATGCAGCTTGTCATTACACTACAAATGTCCAGATTCCCTTTCAGAAATGTAAAGGGAAAGTTCTTGGATGCAAAAGGGTTGTTGTGTACAGGAAAAACACTTCATCATCAAGTTCCCATGCCACTTTAATAATAATAATCCTTGCATTTGATATAGCGCTTTTCACATCTTCTAGATGTCTCAAAGTGCTTCACAGAATAGACTGTAAAGTGAATTGACTGATTATTTGTGGGCGAAATGCGGCTGCCAATTGCGCACAGCACCGTCCCACAAACAGCCGTGGATTGAAGTGACCAATTGTTTTTTTTTTAGGGATTATTACTTTACAATGGAAGCAGTGTTTCTTGTCCTCTACAGCTGTCTAACGGAAGAGCATGGAATGAGTGCAGTTCAGGAATACTTACTGGACAATGTCATTGATTGGGATGCTGAGAAATCTGTCATTTAGCATCTCAACTTCCACAGTATAACCTGTCAAAGCCTGAAATCAGAATTTCTCCCATTAGAAATAAATGTCAAGAATGACACTTTATTTTATTAACAACATTTGTGAAAAAAAGCTAAGATAATTAGAGATAGAGAAGACTGCAAACAAAGTAATTACATTGTGGTTGTAGGTGTTGCTGTGGGATCTAGGTCAGATCTCAGTGCAGGCCAGTTTGCACTGTTGACCCTACAAAATACCTTGAGTCGTCACTCTAAGGAGTTGCCCTAGTTAAAGCTTGTGCTCACTCGGAATGAGAGATAGCACACGGCTATTTCATTTTTTTCTTGACTCTCTGAGCCTTTTCCACTCAGGTTGTTATTAACTTATATTTGTTAAATGTATTCCATGTAAATGAGACAACCATGTATTCCATAGAGTTCTGGCTCTTATAGTTTCTATACATATTATTTACAATTATTCCCCACTTTCTGCAATCTGGATATTTTAAAATGGGGGTATGAGAGATAAGAAGAGATCTGCTTGGCTCAGTTTATAGCGCACTTGTCTCAGAGTCAGAGGGACATGGGTTCAAGCCCCACGTCAGGACTTTGAACTGACATGGCTGACACTCCAAAGCAATGCTGGGGATGTGCTGCATTGTCGGAGGTGCCGTCCTTTGGATAAGTTAAATCGAGGCCCCATCTGCCTGCTCAGGTGGATGGTAAAGATCACATGGTACTATTTGAAAAGAGAAGGGAGTTTTTCCTGGTGTCCTGACCAATAATTCTAGTTTCGCCCACAAATATACGGTCAATTCACTTTACAGTCTATTCTGTGAAGCGTTTTGAGACGTTGAGAAGACGTGAAAAGCGCTATATCAAATGCAAGGATTATTATTATTATTATGAAGTGAATGATCATTTTATCTGGGTGATTATAATAATAATAATCCTTGCATTTGATATAGCGCTTGTCACGTCTTCTCGATGTCTCAAAGCGCTTCACAGAATAGACTGTAAAGTGAATTGACCGAACATTTTGTGAGTGAAACGCGGCAGCCAATTGCACACAGCAGTGTCCCACAAACAGTCATGGATTGAAGTGACCAAATCATTGTTTTTTTTCTTGAGGGATTATTATCAGGCGTGTGGAATAAGGAAACTTGCCTAAGGTTTCACCCTGCCGGGAATCAAACCCAGGTCTCTCGCTTGCAAGGGGAGTGCTCTAACCACTGAGCTACAGGATTCATGGCTGTTTGTGGGACATTGTTGTGCACAGATTGGTGGCTGCTGCTTTGCCTACAAAATACAGTCACTACTCTTGGCAGAATATTATTCTATGAAGCATTTTGAGATGTTCTCAATTTGAAAATGACACTTGCATACAAATTAATATGGTCTTTTTTGATTTCACAAAGCCCTGCTTTCCTGTTATTACTGTTCTTATTGTTTGAGAAGTCTCAGAGATGCGATGAGGCGCTATATCAAATGCTTGTATTATTATTGTTACTATACTTTATAAGTGTACAACCTATGTGAAAACATAGAAATTCAATCAGGTCTGTTGTCCTGGATTATAATAATGACATGATTAATGATTCTAATTTTGATCTTTAGAAGCCTTCGCTGCCAAAAAAAAGCACATTGAAACAGTTTAATTACTCTAATAATAAGGTTTTTGAAGCAGAGACCATAAAATTGTTTTAAGATTGAATTAGATAGCTACTTGGAAAAAAATATTAATAATTAACACATTTGCATCTGAAAGGATATGGGGAGCAAGGAAAATGGGACTAGATAAGTTGGTTCATGTAAAACACCATTGGACACTTGGGCTGAATGGCCTATTGCTGTACATTCTATGATTCCATAAATTTTACTGAAATTTAAAAAGGACTTATTGAAGTAGCCTGAAAAATCATTACCCTGTCAGAGAAAACATAATAATAATAATAATCCTTGCATTTAATATAGAGCCTTATCGCGTGATTGAGACGTCTCAAAGCGCTTCAGGGGATATACTATAAAGTGAATTGATTATTTTGTGGACGAAATGCAGCAGCCAATTGCGCACAGCAGTGTCCCACAAACAGTTGTGGATTCAATGATTTTTTTGAGGGATTATTACCCCCAGTTAGCAATCCACCAATCGCCTAACGACCAGGTTCCTACTTATTGCTAGGTAAACAGTGACGTGTGGAGTAATGAAATTTGCCTATGGTTTCACCCTGCCCGGAATCGAACCTGGGTCCTCTCGCTTGTGAGGCAAGTGCTCTAACCACTACGCTACATCCTGCTGATGTACTGCATGAATTCCTTGTTTTGGGTATCATTGAACACTCACATACCTTTGCGAGGGAAATAGGAGCACAGTAAATGAGATCGTTCCCTTCCCGGCAGAATCGTTCATGCGGTTTCTGTTTCAAAATAAATATGATGTCTGCTGGAATGTTGTTTGGCCCCTGCATGCAACAAAATATATATTTTTAAATTATCATCTTAGCAAAGTTTGGCTTTGTTCTATTTTAATACAATAACAGTTTTTAATTAGTAACAAGTGTCAGCTTCTGAAAACAAGCATATTGCCTGAGGCTGGGTACATGAATGCAAAAAAGCTTTGCGTTCTGGATATAAGGATTAATTTTGGAAATAATCTTTCTCAGCTCTGTTAACATGCACAAAAGATTTGCCAATGAATACAAATCTGCAGTTTTTTAAACAATCTATAAAAATCTGTCATTTAACACTTCTTCGAAAGACATTGCTTTATAATAAACAGGGACCAGAAAGTAAAGCAGTTCTTCCCATACAGCATGATAGGTGAATGTGAATGTCAGGCAACATGGGACTCAGGCCCATGGCTGAGTGCTCAATAGGAATGAATATCAAACAGTGTCTCAAGCCTGACAGTTAGTGCAGATGTGACTGGCATCACCCAAACGACATTTAGAAGCAAAGATTTCAGTCTCTCGGCTGTAGGAGCATTCCATTTACTCTTTTTACATTATTATTGGGTTGGGAGAAAGTTAGCCATTTGTGACAGGTTTTCAAAGAATGTGGTGAGCGAATTTATAAATTGTGACCAAATTTAATTCTTACATCAAAAAAATGTAAAACTTGCAGCTAGATTAAGGTTTGTGGTCTCTCAATCTGAAGAATGAAATCTACAATCTGAAATTGAGCTAACGTAGTGCAATTTCACAGAGGAATATATCCTCAGAAGTGTAAAGGAATGGAAACTGAGCAGCATCTCCCTGGCACTGAACTGCCTCCAAGGCGATATGCCTGGCCAATCTGCAGTAATCCTAAGCAAATTTGGAAGTTTAGACTTGTCCTGAGCCCTGCAAGCAAACCTTTAAAGGTTAGGCCGGTCCCAGTTACACAAAGCAGTGGTACTTTCTCTCACCGTAGAGGAGAGATGGGGATGGGCGTGTGGGCAGAATGACCTGCTTGTGTTTCACATGTTGGCAAGGAACATTTTATTCACTGTGTTGTTTCACCCACCAAATAATAATAATCATCATCATCCTTGCATTTGATATAGCGCCTTATCACCTCTTCGAGACGTCTCAAAGCGCTTCACACAATATACAGTGCATTCACTTTACAGTATATTCTGTAAAGCTCTTTGAGACGTCTCGAAGATGTGATAAGGTGCTATATCAAATGCAAGGATTATTATTGTTAAGAAATATGTAGGATCTCATCAGACCCAGGATTTTTAAAAAATTACTATCCTAGTGTTGCTCACAAGGGAAATTAAAATTACATTGCTCTGCCTGACTACATGTTGGGTCTAATTTATATATTGCGCTCTTGCTTTTCAGATTTCTCAGTGTAATTAAAACTAGTCATTTTGGTGTCATGACAGGGATAGATGCACAGCAAAAAGAAATCTGGCACAGAATTTTATTAATACCCTGAAAGGCATAAAAACATAATCTTTATTGGAGGATATGGCCCTTAACAACCTCTGTGACTCAGCCCAAATGAGCGCTCACATTGCCTTTATTTATTGTTTGTAACATTCTGGAAAGCCGTGCAGCACAGAAATAATTAATGAGATCACTGCTTGGTGTGGTTTCCTCTCGTCCCTATCCCCTCCGGAGCCCAATACCAATCTTACTTTTCTGAGAAAGGTTTCTAATTTGTATTCTCTCCTCTCCCCTCCCCCAGTCTCAAGCATAAAATGCAATGCTGTTCGATATGATGCCTCTGGACTCCAAAAAAGGCAGATCTGCTGCAGTGAGGTGAGGAGCTCAGTCAGTCCTGCTTATATTTTGTAGCCCATTATAGCAGTTGCCATAGTAAAGGTGACACTGCGAAAGGTTTGCATCCAGGTCACTAAGATAGTAAGTTTGGTTTATAAACCCTATTTATAATAGACAGCTCCTTCAAAAACAACTCATTGACGTTGAATCATTGAATGATAGAGGTAAAGTCTGCAACGTTTTAAACCCATCGTTGTGTTAAATTCACTGATATACAGACCACTGGGTGGCAGTGCTCCCCTCTCAGGGAATGGAATCTTCCATTCAGACCTCATTCACTGCTACCGTTGGCATTCTCTTGAGGGGAGTACTATTGTAAATTCTGGTGCCTCGTGAGGCTTCTAACTTATTTTATTTGTAGAATATTTGTTTACTAGCGTTGATCTGCCAATGCATCAGCCTTTTTCACTGGAGCAGAGACGTTTAAGAGAGGACCCAATAGAAGTGTCTAAGATTCTAAAAGGGTTTAATAAGGTTGGCATAAATGGGTTGTTTCCACTGGTAACCAGAGGACAGAAGTATAAGAGTGTAGTTAGGGGATCTAAAAGAGAATTTAGGAGGAACTACTTCACACAGAGGATAAGATAGTGAGACTGTGGAACTCGCTGCCTGAAGCAGTGGTTGAATCAGACAACATAGTTGCATTCAAAAGGAAGCTGGACCTTCATACGAAGGAGATGGGATTAGAAGCGTATGGGAAAGAGTAAGGAATGGGTGGAGACACGTGTGGAGTATAAACACTGTCCCGGACTGGCTGGGCCGAGTGCTATGCATTCTTGGAAATGTTTTCTATTGAAACCTCAGGTTGGATCAACAGTAAATTATTCCTGGATTTTGGACAGCAGGGATTTTATCCACATCAACAACAACTTGCATTTTATATAACACCCTACATGCGGGATAGTATCGTTCAGCTCTGTCAGAGAAGATCAACTCTCAAAAACAGATATTCTCCAAACAAAATAGGTTAGAGGGCTGCATTAGGGGGCGGGATTTAGAATAAAACTCACCTCAAGGTAATATCAAAAATGTTGCAATCCAGGTCTGAACAGAAGATACCACTTCCTTGGAGGGGATCACTGCCGCCCAGTGGTTTTTACGTCATCTTTAATTTATGCCAAGATATTTTAGAGTGCAGAAACAGTGCATTCACTCCATGAATAGTGATTAGTCCATTAAAGTGTCAACTTGGCTCAGTTGGGTCCTGCCTCTGTCAGAAGGTTCTAGGTCCCAAGCCCATGTTAGGACTCGAGTCCAAACTGACATTCCAGAGCAGTACTGAGGGGGCACTGAGAAATTAAATCGAAGCCCAATTGCTTGTTCAACTGCGTGTTAAAAATCCATCCATGAGACTAGTCATGAAGATAATAGTGATTCTTCCAGTATCCTGATTAAGGTGGAGTCCTGTAAGGTATTGGTTAGAGCACTTGCCTCGTAAGCGAGAGGACCTGGGTTTGATTCTTGGGCAGGACGAAACGTTGGGCAAGTTTCCTTACTCCACACACCTCTGTTTACTGAGCAGTAAACAGCCTCTGGTTGTTGGATGATTAGCGGATAGGTAATAATTCCTCCCCCAAAAATAATAAAGTGGACACTGCTGGGGACAATTGACTGCCACGTTTCACCCACAAAATATAGTCAATTCACTTTACGGTTTATTATGTGATGCGCTTTGAGACGTCTTGAAGCTGTGATAACTCACTATATCAAATGCAAGAATTATTATTGAGGTGGGAATACCACCAAATGAGCCAGGCTGACTTTTTTTGTTTGGATCATCTTCTTTTCTAAGCTTAGCTGATACTATTGAGTTTTATCCATTAGTACAATCCAGCTACCTGGTCCCCTTCCTTGGGGAATGTGATTCTAGTTCCTTCCCTCCAGCCTGGTTTAACAATGATAGTCAGGATCTTATCCTTAATGCTGGAAGTGTGGCCATCTTCATTCATAACCTGATCAAAACAATAAAACAAAAATAATTTATTTAACAAAAGAGTTCCTATTTTTATAACAAAACCGTGTATTGACTGTACTTACAAATAAGTAACAAATCATTTTAGAAAACGAACAATACTCTCACTTCAAGTCTGTCCTGAGAATAGAAAATGCCTACCTGAACCAAACAATGAATGCCGAGGTACTTATGCTGGCTTTGTGTTCTCAGAAATGGTCATTAAGCACTGGAAAGCTAAAAGCTGACTTTTTTTTAATAAATAAAGCTGTTCTGTGGCAATGTTTTTAAGTGATAGTGTACTATCCTAAGAGACTTGATACTTCAAACTCTAAAACTACAAAGCCACAATTTCCATAATGTAGATCGCAGCTGATCAAAATAATATTAATATCTTACTCTGCGTGAAATTTTGATCTTCTTCATACATCCATGAAACAAATCTTCTAAAGAAACATACAGATCCCGTTCTATTGGAGGGTCTTGTGTCTTCAACGATTTCCCTCGTAAACCGCCAAATCCCATATTTACCTCTCCTTTCACATCAAAGAAATCTGGAAAGAGAACAAATGGAGTAATCTACAGTAATGTGCAACTGTGCCAGTGTAGCTTTTGGATTTAGCACAGTTGTTTAAGGTGTAGGATAGACTGCACTCTCAAGCCTTTCTAACTGAATTCACATCACTTCACAATGATTCAAATGAATTGTACAAGAAAATAATGCAACTTGTCACTTAAATTCTGTTGCATTATTTAAAGTTATCAAAGGAGAAAGCATGGAAGCTCTAAATGCCAGTCTTGCTTTCACTGCTGGCATTTCAGAGGTTTGCATTTCAAAGTGCAACGCAAATGGTTTTCAAAGAACACTTCTGAAATACCAGACCTACTATTTGGTCAAAGAGATAAAAGCTAAAAAGAAAGATAGTGAATGGTCAGAATTTGAAATAACAGAAAATGCTGAAAATGCACAGGTCGATCGATCGACATCTGAAAGAAAAAAAAAGGTGAACCTTTTTGATATGACTTCACTAGAAATGGAAAATATTTTATATTTAGAACTGTATCGGGTAACATTTTTCAAACCTAAGCCTGTCTTATGAAGATGTCCAACGTGCCTGGCAACTTGCCTCGATCCAGTTCCAAGAAGCTACGAATCCACAGCAAAAAGAAATTGCTCATAATTCGAATCGGCTGTGATGAAACCCATAGATTCTGAGGACCGGGGGGGGGTTAAGGCACTTTACTGGGAAAGAGTTTTTATATCTCTTCATTCAACTTGACATGTGAGCAAAAGTAAAAAGTGTATCATTCCCCAGTACAGAGACTCTCATCTTGACAAGTACTCCCATATCTCCCATCTCTTGAAAAAAAATGATTACTGGCATCCCACTGCACCTTGAGGACTACTGACACCAGGCTGCACGGAGGCTGACATGCTGTTGGCTACAAACTGGTCAGTTCATAGATGAGGAAAAGGAGTGGACTGAGGTAGAGTTTACAATTACTAATTTATTTAAATCTGAAAGTTGTACCTGCGAATGGGTTATCTCCGCCAAAGAAATCCCTGAAGATCTTCTTGGGGTTGCCGTGAAAAGTGTACCCATTGGTCCAGGCACCGGTTTCACCAAATTCAGTGGGAATGCCTCCCTTCAAGCCCTCTTCACCAAACTTATCATAAGTAGCCTTCTTTTTTACTGGGAAGAAAACGTAATTGTTTACATAGGTGAACTATTGCTCACACTTGAATATCACATTTCCACTGAAAAAACAAACAAATGTTCTTTCCAATTAAAATTCTGTTCCAATTATTTCTGATTTAACAACAACAACTTGGATTTATATAGTGCCCTCCACGCTGGACTGCGTCTCAGAGCGCTTTAATTAACAGTGTTAGGTACTCTTACAGCAAAAAGCTTAGAACTGAAGAAGCATTAAGGAGAAAACTTGCTCCAGATGTTACTAACCCTGCCTGAGGGACAGGCAAATGCATCACCACTGGAACAGCACCTGTAATTCACAGCCTGATCATCACTAAAGATTGCATTTAGGCACTAAATAACACAGCTTTTGGGTTTAGAAAGTGGCAAGCCACTATCAACAGCATGTCAATGCGGTTGTGAAAAAATCATAATTGACAATTTATGAGTGCAATGATGAAATGTACATTCTGGAGAGCTATTAGAATCGTACATTAACAGTGATAAGAGTTGTGTTACTCAGTTGCCTTTACCCTTCCCTTCTTAGTAACCCCCTCCGGGCTCCCAGTCAGTTGTGTGAAGCTCACTGAGATGTCCTCTCAATGTGAAAGGCACTAAAATAATAATCCTTGCATTCGATATAGTGCCTTATCATGTCTTCGAGACATCTCAAAGTGAAACGCAACAACCAATTGCACCGAACGGTGTCCCACAAACAGTCGTGGATTGTGTGACCAAAGTTTTTTAAAATTTATTTTGAAGGAATTATTACCCCCAGAAAAGCGATCTGCCAATCGACTAACAATCGTGTTCCTCCGTACTGCTATGTAAACACGTGGAGTCCTATAGCTCAGTGGTTAGAGCACTCGCTTTGCAAGCGAGAGACCTGGGTTTGATTCCCGGCAGGGCGAAACCTTGGGCAAGTTTCCTTTCTCCACACGTCTAATAATAATCCCTCAAAAAAACAATAAATTGGTCATTTCAATCCACGACTGTAAATGCTGCCGCATTTCGCCCACAAATATGCAGTCAATTCACTTTACACTCCATTCTGTGAAGCGCTTTGAGACATCTAGAAGACGTGAAAAGCGCTATATCAAATGCAAGGATTATTATTATTATATTTATTATAAACAGAGTGTGTGGAGCAAGGAAATTTGCCCAACATTTTGGCCTGGTCCTCTCGCTTGTGAGGCGAGTGCTCTAAACACTAAGCTACAGGACTATATATATGTAAATGTTTTGTTGTAGTTATACAATCATCCAGTCAGCCTTATTACCTTTACTGATTTTAAGGCATATATTTACTGCATTTTTACTTACCGTGACACAGACTCTTTGATAACTCATCACTGCAAGGGGAAAGGGCTCAGTGACGAGTTATCCAGAATGGTGAGTTAGGCATACGTTATATATATATATATATATAAATACAGTAAAAGCGGCCAGGATATTGGCAGAATGATGAGTTAGACTTAAATGGTAGTGACAAGTTAATCCAGAGTTGAATTATCAGGAATTTACTACGGTTTCTACTTATTATTACAATACTTACAGTCACTGAGAATATCATAAGCTTCTGCGATTATAAAAAACTTATCTTCAGCCTCTTGATCCTGGTTTTTGTCAGGGTGGTACTTTAAGGCCAATTTCCGATACCTGTAAAGGCAAAAAAACTCGATAAACCCCTCCACGTTTTAGAAGTTACAACACACAGTATCTTACCTAAAGCAAACAGAGTGATACAGAAGTGATACCAGTAGTGTTCCATTGATGGTCAAATTGGTGCAATTTGCCACTTGAAGAATTTTTGATAGACATCAAAGAAAGCTCTAAACAGATGCTTCTCCGAGTGTGAAAATGTAAGAGAATATCAACCTATATTTGTCCCCATAGTTGCTTACCGAGCATAATTTTCAGAAAACTAATTTGCCTGCTCTCTTAATTGGGAGCAGTCACTGCCACTTAAAAAGAAAAGTGCTTTGTAAAACAAAAATAAATGTTGTCCAGTTTTCTTCCCTCCTTCTTTAAGACCATAAAAGGTAGGAACAGGAGTAGGCCATTCAGCCCCTCGAGCCTGCCCCATCATTTAATAAGATCACGGCTGATCTTCTAACCTAATTCCATTTCCCCGCCTATCCCCATATCCCTTAATCCCTCTATCCTTTAGAAATCTATCAACCTCAATCTTGAATATGCTCAAGGACTGAGCATCTACAGCCTTCTGGGGTAGAGAATTCCACAAATTTACTACCCTCTTAGTGAAGAAATGTTTCCTCAACTCAGTTCAAAAAGACTGACCCTTAATCTTGAGACTATGACCCCTAGTTTTAGATTCTCCAACCAGTCTCACGGCATCTACCCTGTCAAACCCTTAAGAATATTATAAGATCACGTCTAATTCTTCTATGTTCTAGAGAATATAGGCCTAGTTTACTCAACCTATCCTCATGGGTCAACCCGCTCATCCCAGGAACCAACCTAGTGAATCTACGCTGCACCCCCTCTAAGGCGAGTATGTCCTTTCTTAAATAAGGAGACCAAAACTCACACAATATTCTAGGTGCGGTCTCACCAAGGCCTTATACAACTGCAGCAAGACATCCCTACTCTTGTACTCTAACTCTTTTGCAACGAACGCCAACATGGCATCAGCCTTCCTAGTTGCTTGCTGTACCTGCATACTAACTTTTTGTGACTGGTGTACCAGGACACCCAAATCCCTCTGAACAGTAACACTATCTAGTCTCTCCCCTTCTAGAAAATAATCTGCTTTTCTATTTTTATTGCCTAGGTGAAACACTTCCCTACATTGTACTCCATCTGCCACCTTCTTGCCCACTCACCTCGCCTGTCTACTTCCTTTTGCATTCTTCTTGTGCCATCCTCACAGCTTCTTGTGTCATCCTCCCACCTAGCTTCGTATCGGCCACGAATTTAGACATGTTAAGTTCTGTTTCCTCATCTAAATCATTGATATAGACTGTAAATAATTGAGGTCCAAGCACTGATCCTTGTGGCACTCCACTATTCATATCCTGCCAATCTGGGAAGGATCTGTTTATCCCTATTCTCTGTTTTCTTCCCGTTAGCCACGCTTCAATCCATGCTAATATATTATCTTTAATTCCATGGGCTTTATTTTGATCACCACTTTACTTTATACTTAGTAATTTTCCCTCCGAACAACAATACCCCCACATCAGCCACCAGTTGTGTGTGTGTTGGGAGGTTCAGGGGAGAAATCTGTTTCTCCAGCACCGCTAGAGATCTTCAATGCAATGCTGGGGATAAGATACATTGATAAAAGTGCCATCCTGTAGATGACACGTTAAACCAAGGACTCATCGATGCCTGTGCTGGTGGATGTTAAAGATTCCACAGCACTATAGGAAAGGTGAAGAAGTTTCTCCTGGTGTTCTAGCCAACTTCTGGCCGCTTGTTCTGCTCTCACAGTCTAAGTTGAAAAGCCTGTTTATACCTACCTCAGCTATTCCTCCCATCGTTTTAAAGTCCTGAATCATATCCATTCCTCCCCAACCTGCCCTTCCCACTGAAAACAAATTCAGGCCCGTGAGTCCCTGAACTTTGACATCCTTTGCCAAACCCCAATTACCAACAGATTCACCCATAACTGAATCTGAGTTAAGTGCATTATGAGCTTAGCTATCGCTTCAGACTATCGCTCCCTTATCTTTTAGCTATCGCTTCAGACTATCGCTCCCTTATCTTTTATTATTAATAATGATTCTTGCATTTGATGGCACTCCTTCCACATTGGGAGAATGTCTCACTCTGCTTCATGGAAATTACTGTAAAGTGTAGTGATTGTGTGTTTTATAGGCGGAAGCCAAGAGACACCCATTAAGTCAATGACCAATTTTATCTGGGGGTTATTTGGCCAAGACATAGGGAGAAACCAGAAGAAAGTTTCTGGTATCCTGCGGTCTCCTCGTCAATGGTACTCCAGATCAAATTTGGCATTCACTTCATAACTATCTTGTAGGGGCTGCTGTGTATGAAATGGCTGCAATGTTCACTACAGTTACTACATTTTATGAAATGCTTTGAGACTTTCTGGAGGGTATATCAACTGCTGGAATTGTTATATTAGCCTGGCTAAGTTGGTAGCACTCTCACCTCTGAGTCAGAAGATTGTGGGTTCAAGCCCCATGTCGGGACTTTAAACACATAGTATGTCCTCGAATTCTGGGGACAGTCTCCAGATGAGGTAGTGTGCCCTTGGCCAGACTTGCCCTGTCTTGAGCTCAGCAACAAACTGAGCAAGAACATTAAAATTATAAAATAGATAAACTCAGAGAAACACAGCCATTAATCCAACACGTTTCTGCAGTAATCGCCAGCATTAGGAATTGTGGCGAGTTAAATTTTTTTATAGACGTCACCGGATTTCGGTTACAAAATTGGGTCACCCTACTTTACAGTATAGTCCTTGAAGTGTTTTAGGATGTCCTCTCAATGCGAAAGATGGTGTATCAAATGTACAGGTCAATTATTATTATGTCATTAATAATAATAGTCCTTGCATTTAATATAGAGCTTTTCACGTCTTCGAGACGTCTCAAAGCGTTTCACAGAATATACTGTAAAGTGAATTGACTGTATATTTTGTAGGCGAAACGCGGCAGCCAATTGCGCACAGCAGTGACCCACAAACAGTCGTGGATTGAGTGACCAAATCATGATTGTTTTTTTCTTGAGGGATTATTATCAGGTGAGTGGAGTAAGGAAACTTGCCCAAGGTTTCGCCCTCTGCCGGGAATCAAACCCAGGTCTCTCGCTTGCCAGGCGAGTGCTCTAACCACTGAGCTACAGGACTCCACACTTGTAATAATAATAATCCTTGCATTTTGATGTTGCGCTTCTGTTTTAACACCTCAAGTCCCTTCAGGCTGAAGCCCAGAGAGGACTTTTTGGAGCTTGACCAGGTTGTGCTCTCTACAATTCTGGGGTCGGACGTTGTTCTGTCGGTTCGAGTCGCATCGAGCCCTCTCCAGGGCTTGGACTGAAGAGACTCGGGGTTTTCTCCCAGTGTCCTGGCCGGCAATTCCCCAAATAAATGTGTTCCCTCACTCCATCCTGGTTTGCGGGACATTGGACAATTTCAAACGCAAGGATTATTATTATTATTATTATCATTATTACCATTATTAATACCATTGCTGTGTGCAAACTGGCTGCGCGTTTCGCCCACAAAATACGGTCGAGGAACCCTCTGCGGCCACTCCCGGGGGAAGCGCTTTGCGGGGTCTTGACGACGTGGGACAACAACAACAACGGGTCCGCGCTTGGCGCCGGGGGCCCTTCACGTGGGGCAGCGCCTCGGGGCGTTGAACAGCCGCGGAGGGAGGGAGGGAGGGAGGGAGGGAGGTGACCGCGAGCACCGATGGTCCAAGAGGAAGATCTGGTCCTGATGCGGCGCTGCAATCAAATGCAAGGGTTATCATCAGTGGTAACCATGACACAAGGCTGACAGCACAGCACAGAGAGGGCCTACTTAAACACCGCTCCACTCACGCTCGTTTAATGTCCGCGTCCGTCGCGTTCTTGGTGACCTCCAACACGGCGTAGTAATCCCGACCCATCTTCTGCTTCTTCTCCTGACGCTCTCTCTGTATAAGGCTCTGCGCCGCTCACACTGACCCTCAGGGCCTCTCTCTCCTCTCTCCCTCCTTCCTCCCGTTTGGGCCCCGTTGCCCCTGGCGACGGCCTGAGCCTCGCTCCGCGTCGCCGCGGCAACGGCAACATGGCGGCCGTAACCAGGGGGGACCGGCGCGGGGCCTGCTGGGAAATGTAGTTCCCACCGCGCCCACCAAAACAGGCGGGACTTTCAAATAATCACTTGCTGTATTAGATGGACAGAATGTGAGGGGGTTTCACCCCCACACCCCCCACCCCCACCTTCCTCTTATTCACCTAATGCCACCCATCTGTCCAAAATTAAGAATGTCCTCCCCCTTGATGAAAACCCTCCCTCTCTTTTTTTTTGCCAACTGCCCCAAAATACAATACTGATTATAAGGGAAAAAAAAGAACGCAAATTTACACATCTGATACTAATAGTAATTCTCGTATTTGCTTTAGCCCCTCATCACTTCATTGAGACGTTTCAAAGCGCTTCACGTTAAATTTACTGTATTTTGTGGGCAGCCAATTGTCCCACAAACAGTCGTGGATTGAGTGACCAAATTTGTTGATTTGCTTATTTTTTATGAAGGGATTGTTACCAATTGAGTAAACCGCCAATTGACGAACAACCGAGTTCCTACTTTCCACTTGGTAAACAGAAGAGAGTGGAATAAGGAAACTTGCCTAAGGTTGAGTCCCACCCGGGATTCAAACCTGGATCTTCTCGCTTGCGAGGCGAGTGCTCTAAGCAAAGGATGGATCCAGCATCGACCTTTTGTGGGAAAGAATTCCATATTTCTATCAGATCTCAGAGTGAAAGAATGCTTCCAGATTTCGCTCTTAAATGGAACTGGTTCTAATTTTAAGACGATGCCCCCTTGTTTTGGATTCCCCACCAGAAGAAATAGCGTCCCTGTATCAAAGGTTGGAAGCCCACCCGCTGATGGGGAGGCAGAGCTATTAAGATGGCTGGTCTTTGCATGTAACATTTATATTAAAACATTTCTCTAGGGTTCATGTTTTAAACAAACGGATTAAATGCTTTCCAAATTTCGATGTTAATAATAATCCTTGCATTTGATATAGAGCCTTGTCACGTCATCGAGACATCTCAAAGCACTTTATAGGATATGCTGTAAAGTGCAGTGACTGTATTTTGTGGGCGAAATGCAACAGCCAGTTTGCACACAGCAATGTCCCACTAACAGCCATAAATAAAACAGTTTGAACCATTGCAAGTCATTTGATCAAAAATGATGTCTGTCCTTCCTGAATTTAAAGTATATACAATATAGAATTAGTTGAAAGGCAAAACATACAGCTTATTTTTGGTTAGCCAGTTGTCTGACCATGGGAAAACCAATCATCATTCTTAACAGTATGCAAACCTGAAAGAGCTTGATGTATGCCACCAAGACAACGAGATCCCGTGTCTGGAATGGAATGCGTATTCGCTCTTTCCAGAGGGATGCACCCTGCTTACTTAATTGCAGAGTCGGATATTGGTAAGAGCCAGGCAGTGTCTGTTGGGGTACCGGTGGAGTTTGACCAACAAAGACCACATAGCTTGCCATTGAAATCACTGAATGGTAAGCTTCTCGCTTACCTGCCCCAATTGGTCAAGATGTTAAATGTCAAAAGTGTGAGTATATATACTAGGTTTATTTTACTCCTAATTGTACTTATTTTGCAGGGAGGCAAACTTTAATTTGATGAGAAAGGCATAAAAATTGCACCTCATTTTTTTAAAAAGCGAAACAGAGCTACAGAATCACATTTATTTGTTTTCCAGCATTGGCGATTGCCTCTTTGGACTGTGTTTAACACAGACGATGAAAGAGTACAGAGTAAGAAGTGATTTCACCGATACATGTTTGAAAACAAACATTCAAAATGTCATGAAAAGGATTACTACCAAGAAGCAAATGGCAGGTGAAATTCTTCTTCACGTCCACACAAATCAGTCGAAGCACAACGCAAGGAACACAATAATTCCCAGATGACGCATAATAATCTACTGTCTCAAGTATTTACATTCATTGCCTTACAAAACACTAAATTGGGACTGAAAGATCCTCGTCTGAAGGTAGTTCCTCCTGAACAATGCGCAAATTGTTTAGATACCAGGTACCTGGTATTTCCTCACAAATCCATCTCTGGAGCAGGTGTAGGCAAAATTCTCCCATAAAACTGCCTGAAATACAACACAGAGAACATATATTGCGGAGTTGTTATGAAATGTACTAAATTAAGCACTGAGAAAATAGAAGTGTTGCAAGCGTTCAGCCAAGTGAAGGAACGCAGCAGAATTAAATTACAATGTACAGTACCGGTATCTTGTTGGTACTCCACACAGCAAAAGCACAGGAAGGATGTAAAGGCAGATCAATTGAATGTTAGAAGAGAGACAGATAACTACTTGGAAAGCAGGGTCTTTAAAGAGTATGGAGAAAAGTCAGGGAAATGGGATAAAAACATCTGTCTAATCTTTTTAATTCCATTTTCCTGGTAAACAGTCATGCTAATTCTTATGTTCTTACAGTGATTAGAATAGTTAAATGTACAAATGTTCACTACAAATAAGATGGAATCTTCTGAAGTTTTGGTAGAAAAAGTTGGCAGAAGTTAACAAAATATTCATATCAGCAGCAGGAATTAGCTCCTTTCAGAGGAGAGAAAATAGACGGCAAAACAGACCAATGGTCTTATTGAATTGTTACGTTTAAGTGCTCCGAGACACTGCCCAGCATGAAGGGTGTTATATAAATGCAAGTTGTTGTTATTATGTTACTACATCAGAAGGCATTTGCAAATTAATGTAAAAAGCACAAGATGCATTATTATGAACATAAATCAGATTTTCTAAAAAACTTATATTCCAACCTATGTCATATGGTCTTTAGTTTTGCTTACCTTGTAAACGGGATCAGAGTCGGGCCCTGTCAATTCAATGGAATAATCCTGATCCTGCTGAATTATGTAACAACTTCCATCACCTGGTAACAGGATAGGTCATAACTTAGATTGCAGTGGAATGGTTTGTTGACTTTATCTTCTCAGTGTGCTTCATATTGGCACTTGGAATTTTGGTCTGCCAGGTGGCTGACACACATGAAAGCCCATCACCAAGCTTAAAACCAAACTACCAAATATGCCAAGTACGCATGGAAATTTACATTTGTCTGGAATGGAGTGCACACTTTCCTTGAAGGAATAACATCGTGCTCACCTTATCCGGAGAGGGTTAGGGATATAGGGCTGAGTGGGAAAAATCCCAGCCCCAGAGACTGATCTGCTCCAAGTTCTGCTGATGAGCCAGACTGGATGGTCCATCATCAACAGCATCTTGATGCTATACTACAGAGCTGTGCTTGGTTGAGGAACTGGATTACTGTGACCATCACTGAAGCTCAACTCAATTCCAATATTGCATTGCCAGGCACATCACTTTGGAGCAAATGCAGCAGTAAAATCTGACTGGGAGCAGGGTTTCTTCCCACTCAGCTCCTGGTATCCTGCAAACCAAAGTCCTGACAGGTAGGGTGGTCCTAGCTAGGCAAGCAGCGGGATGCTTGTCAGACAGTGCTCTCAATGCAAGATATGCATTCTTAGCTGGTTAAACTCCAGCAGTTCCTCAAACTTTTACTCTGGGGTCTCCAAGCCTTGGCTCTTCCCATCCTGCACCTAATACTCTCCAGAATTTGGCAAGCAACATCTGTCGCTCCAGGGAGTGCGCTAAATTTCATTAAAGACACAGGGAAATTTCCACATGTAACTGCACATGTATGTGGAACTTTCAGTCTGATTTGGATGCTCTTTAAGCATGGTGATGGGCTGCTGCATTTGCCAAGATATCCGACTGACCAAAAATAAAATAAAAACTACATCTGAAACATCATGAAATAGAAAATAATCTTCTGAAAGAAAAAAAAGCATTAAAAAACTACCAGAACTCAAAAGGAACAGCATGGTTAAACTCCAAATGTTTTAAATTATTGTGGATAGAGGTTTCTGGTTCTCAAGAGTTTCTATACAGAGAACTATAGACAGTGGAATACTTTGGGGGAATATGCAAGATGGGGGGAATATGGGGGATAGGGACGGGGGAAAGTGAAATAAAGTTACCCTCCTCCTCCATAAAATATACCATCAAAAGTAGGGCTATAAAATGTGAATGGAGGAAGAAAGTTCAGTTTACTATTTTCAGTATTTTACTTCATTACTCTTTAAAACAAATTATTCTGTGCAAGAAATGTATAAAAACAGCAAAACAAAAGCAATCTTACCGTGGCTAGCCATAAAGCCTTCTCTACAGGGAAATAGAGAGAGCACTGGGGCACCCGATCTATGGATAGTCTGTATAGGCATTCTGAAAAATATAAGAGAGACCATTCCTACCAAACACTAACATTTGAGCCAACCACTAAGACACTGTGCTTACTCAGTCCCCAGTAAAAAAAATTGTTAGATGTAATGTCATGACATTTAACTGGATATCAAATTATTAAAAATCCCATCCAAGACATCTCATACAATTATATAGAGATCAGCATTTCATGACAGAAACCATTGTTATAAATTTAATTACCTGCAAATGTTAGCCTTAGAGGCATTTCTTCAACTGCCCCCTATAATCCATTTCATGCTAAATAATTACATTTAATTACAGTCTTTGTTTTTAAAAAAAAGCTCCAATCCATCATTGTTAATTTATATGCAAAAACAACCCTAAACATTTAATAGCTATGACAGTGAGGAGGTGCAAGATGGACTTAAGTCAACAAATCAAAGATGGTCGATTTTCATTAAAAAAAAGTTGCAATTACAACACATTAACAAATGGGAGCTGCTCTTAGATGACTAGTTACTTCATTGTTCCCACATAAACAACAACAAATTACATTTGTAGAGCGCCTTTCTTGTGGGGAGGACATCCCAAAGCGCTGGACAGGCAAGGATGTGCACCCGAGCTGGGGGTTGGGATCAGGAGGGGTGAAGGGCAGGGAGGGTGAGGGAAGGAGAGTGACCAAAGGCGCGGTCGAAGAGGAAGGTCTTGAGACGGGACTTGAAGGAGGGGGCGAGGCTAAAGGACTGTGGAACGGAGTTCCAAAGAGTGGGAGCAGAAAGGCTGAAGGCCCAACCACCGATGGTGGGGCGGGCAGGGCGGGATACGTGAAGCAGACCAACACATTGATTACTGACTGTGTGTTTCGAATATCCAGCTGATAAATGTTGCCGTCCTGTGTTCCTCCGAGGAGCTGTGTGCTCGACAAGAACGTGCAACAGTTGAAGGCATCGGATCCCTCAAACACAAATATCTGCAATTCACAAGACAGAGGATTGTTGCAAATTTCTGATATCTTTGGATTCTTTCACTGAAAACATTAGTTATGTTTTAAGAATTTGCAGTTTAAATATAATGAAGGAGGGGTGGGAAGGGAATTGGAGTACTGTATCAGACTGCAGTACCCAAAATTAAATCGCCAACCTTAGCCTCACAAAATTGTACAGCATAGGCTTACATAACGGACTCTTCACATCCAGTGATTCAACAAGAGCAGGGGAATGGGATTGGCATAAATAGCTTCAATGGGGAGCTAGAACCAGCACAGACACAAGAGGCTGATTAATCTCTCTCTGTGCTCAGAACCTTCATTTGGCCGAAGATGTGCCGGTGTCTTTTCCCCCATTCGAGTGATTTAATTGAATCCCACTCTCCTGCTTGCTCCATCAAATGTCTTTTCATACACCCACTCCTCTCCCCACCCCAAGACTTTCCTTGCATTTGATATAGCGCCTTATCACGTCTTTGAGACGTCTCAAAGTGCTTCACAGAATACACTCTGAAGGGAATTAACTGTATATTTTATGGGTGAAACACACACAATATGAAAGATAAAGGCTTGAAGCGATATGGCGATAGGGCTGGGAGGTGAGATTGAATGAACAGCTTTCTCTGAGAGACAGTGCAGACTTGATGGGGCAAATGGCCTCCATCCGCACTATAAATTTCATTGATTTTATGAACGTAAGACATTACAGAATTATGATACTGCAAACACAATCTGTTAACAAGCTATTAACAGATTAACAGAGTTAAAAGGAAATTAAACAATTTTGGAATTGAAAACACTCACTGGTTGTCTGCAATGAAGACCAAAGCTTTCCAGTTTCCTGTCTTCACGTGCTAAAAGTAACAATTTCCCTTCGGTTCCTATTTCACGTTCACCTGGTAAGCGATTTAAAAAAAAATTAAAACTCATTTTAAACAAAGTCATGCACTGGTATTTCATGTTCAACGACACATTGCGCATTTTCAGGCAACACGGACAAACTAACTTCCAATAAAAGTAAGCAGTCTTGATTCAAATTAGGCTGCCATTACAAGAATCAAAATGGCCTAATTTCATACAGCTGTCCCCCCCCACACACATAAGAACATAAGAAATGCTAAATGAAAAAAGACCAAGGTCCATCTAGTTCGCCTTCCACCTTCCTGATGGTCACATGCACATATGTCCCAAACTACCTATGTACTATACCCCATAATGCTATTTCCTAAAATAAGAACATAAATCGCATGTAACATTAGCATACGTTTCCCTTACACTATGGACTCTTCACACACAGTGATTCGGCAAGAGCAGGGGAATGGGATTGGCATAAATAGCTTCAATGGGGAGTTCGGACCAGCACAGACACAATAGGCTGATTAACATCTTTCTGTTAATCAGATTCTATGCAGCCAATTGATTTTCTACTTTCGCTCACAAAATACACAGATAATTCACTTTACAGTATATTCTGTGAAGAGCTTTGAGACACCTTGAAGACACGATAAGACGCTATATCAAATGTGATTGTTATTATTCCTGTAAAAATGTGATGGGGGAGGGTGAAGGAAGGGCAACTTTTTCAACTACCTGATACAACCTTAGCTGCCCCCACAAGACAGATTTTGTTCTCCCACCAAGAATGTACTGAGACTCACAGTCAAGCCATCATTTTCACATTATCACATTTCACATTGTCAGTGTCTTTCTTCACAGGCTACTAAAGTTAATATTTTAATAAGTTAGGAGTATGTCATTTCCCTTTACCAGAATATTACCCTCTGAAGTTTAGTTTCCCCAGCATGTTACTCACTTGGTGGTTCTTCGGGAGAACCCAAATTCATGGTATTTTCAACAATGCCAATTGAACAGCCATTGACAGGAGACCCGCAGTCTGCGAGAACTGCAAGGCAAGCGGACTTTCCACAATCCCACAACCTTACTGTCCCATCCCTGGAGCTCGAGATGATATTTCGTCCACGTTCTACAATTGCTGTATCAAGGATCCCTGAAAAACAGTGTGTCCTTCCTTCATAGCAAATCTCTCTCATTTTTGTAAATGAAATAAATAGATTTGAAAAATTAGCTGCTTTGACAGGAAAAAAACATTAAGAAACACACTACACTTTGACACTTTTGGATAGCAAGACACTTTACTTTGTGTTTGATGGTACAAAAATCTTTTACACCGTTAAAGAACAAGGACTATAATTTGCATTTATAACTGCAGTGCGCAATTGGCTGCCGCGTTTCGCCCACAAATTTAATCAATTCACTTTAAGTATATTCTGTGAAGCGCTTTGAGACGTCTAGAAGACATGAAAAGTGCATATCAAATGCAAGGATTATTATTTTTATATAGCACCCCTCACACAGGGTAGCGTTCCACAGCGCTTTAGAGTGGCGGAGCATGAAGCAGAGCCGTGGGGAGGTGACCATAGGTACGATTGAAGTGGTAGGTCTTCAGGCACCTCAGGGGCACCGAAGAGGATCCTCAGCAAACTTCAACATAGTGTAAATTCGATTACTGACTTACATTATGGTTCCTTTAGAATCTGATAACATTACTAATTAGCTTTGCATACCTCCTTTGTGTCCTTTCAGTGTCACCGCACAGTTTCCATCTTCAACTGACCAGATCTTTAGCTGAGCATCCATTCCTCCACTCAGAACAACGATGCCCGATGGGAAGAACCTGCAACAATTCACGTCATACACGTGGCCCACAAGATTCCTCTAAAAAGTTTAAAAAATAATTGGCTAGAAACATGAGTCACTTGTAGTTTACCAACCAACAAAATGACCTTGTTAGTGCTGTTGAGAAGTAGGCAACGTTTGGTCATCAGCGTGTCTAACACACACACACACAAAACTTTACCCAAGAATCCAAACGGCACAGAGTTCCACATATGCATGGACATTTCTCTTTGTCTGGAATGAAGTACACACTCAGTCTCTAGTGGGAATGCATCCTGTTTCCCTAATCCCGAGAAGCATAAGGAGCAGATTGGCAAGAGTGGAGGTTTGCGGATCCCAGAGTGTGTTGGGGTACATCTGGTGTTTAACCAGCTAGCTGTGCAGCTTGTCATTGTAAACACTGTCTGGCCAACCGTCCCCCTGCTTGAACAGCTAGAATTACCTTATCCTGCCCCTGCCCATTAAGACTTTGGTTTGCAGGGTTAACAGGAGTCAAGTGAAAAGAATCCCTGTCCCAGTGACTGGTTTGCTCCTCCAAGTCCTGCTGGTTTGTTATCAACAGTTCCTTGGAGTACTGCAGACCTGCCTGGTTCAGAAACTGGACGAGCAAGACAGCTACAGAAGATTGATTTGATTCCAATATTCCATTGCTAAGGTTTTTACCATGGAGTCAGCTCAGCCTCAGAGATCCTTACTTCTCTCCCTTCCCCAAGGACAATAGTGACTAAGCCCAAGTTTAATAATAATAATAATAATCCTTGCATTTGATATAGCGCTTTTCACGTCGGGAGGACGTCCCAAAGCGCTTCACAGAATATGCTGTAAAGTGAATTGAGTGTATATTTGTGGGCGAACGCGGCAGCCAATTGCGCACAGTAATGTCCCACAAACGTCGTAGATTGAAAAAGACCAATTTGTATTATTGTTTTTGGTTTTGGAGGGATTATTATTAGGCTCTGTGTGGAGTAAGGAAACTTGCCCAAGGTTTCGCCCTCTGCCTGGAATTGAACTCAGGTCTCTCGCTTGCAAAGCGAGTGCTCTAACCACTGAGCTACAGGACTCCAAGTTTAGAAGAGACGCAGATAACAAGGTCAGTGAATAAGTTATGTCCAGCAACCAACTGTTGACAATTGCTCTACAAGTATTTAGTCAGACAAAGATAATCCTTCAAATGTGGGCCTTGTGTGTCAATTCCATGGCTACTGATGTCTACACAGACACTTGCTAACGAGCACAAAAACCTTTGCAAACGCGATTAAATTACTGCCAGTGTATTCTTGAAGGAGGTTATTCTAGTCATTGCAAACACATATTTAAAGATTTGCTTTATTGAGCAAATAGAACGCAATAATCCCTTACAGGGGAGTGTCTGACAAGGCTGCAATCCCTTCTTGAGCTGGTTCAGTTAACAGTTAGAATACAGGATTCCTTTGCAAGATGCCACTCAAAAAATAACAGGATTAAATGTAAAATAGTGAGAAACCATTTGACAAACCCTGATTTCTCCATTGTTAGTCTGCCAGATTTTCAACGTTCCATCTGTGCTGGATGAGACTCCCAGTCCACCTCCACTGGAAACATCCATGCAAATTATCTATCAGACAAGAAAAACAAATCAAGATCATATACGTTTCAACAATAACTTACATTTATATAGCGATCCCCAACCCCCCACGCAAGGTAGCGTCCCAGAGGGCTTGACAGTGGCGGAGCCCCATGTCGAGTCGAGGGGAGGTGACCAGAGGCAAGGTCGAAGAGGACCTGAAAATGGAGGAGGGGGAAAGGCGGTGGGATAGAGGAAGAGTGTTCGAGAGTTTCAGGGCATAGTGACTGAAAGTGCGGCGGCCAATGGTGGAACGTAGGGCATGAGGGACAAGCAGGAGGCAATTCCCTTGAGCGAGCATGGATTAAACGTCTAGATGAACATTTGAATACATATAGAGTTTGAACCTAGATGGCTGAAAATAGATTCTTTGAATCCAAAATCAAAATTCTGAACAGCTTAGTGTGTAATCACACAAGCTTTAATGAGAACAGGAGTCATTCTTGACATATGCCAAAACTAGACACACAGATTCCCAGATAGACAGACAGTCAAGACAATAGAGGTCTCTAAGATCTCTACTGGAGAGAAAGGATATGACAGAAGCATGCAAAAATAATAATAATCCTTGCTTTCAACGTAAATTTTATAGAAATTCAGATCACAGCAGCACAGCGCAGAAAGCTCAAGGTCATGCCTGCTCTCACAAGCATTTCTAGCATGAGCAACAGAGCAGGAAGCATACTTCAGTTTTGATAAAGTGGGTATTCACAACCCATCCACACTATAAATAGACTTCTGTAAAAATGAGTTGTCTTTTAACAGGGTAACCGGGTCAGACAACGTAATAATAATCCTTTAATATGATATATCATCTACCATGTCGTTGAGACGTCTCAAATCGCTTCACACAATATACCTTGTAGTCGTTTGACTGTGTATTTTGCGGACGAAACACGGCAGTCAATTGCACACAGAAATGTCCCACTAAGTCGTGGATTGAGTGACCACATTTTTTTTGAAGAGGATTATTACCCCTGGAAAGCGATCTGCCAATCGACTAACAACTGGGTTCCTACTTACTGATAGATAAACAGAGGCGTGTGGAGTAATGAAACTTGGCTAAGTCTTCATCCTGCCCAGGAATCAAAGCTGAGTCCTCTCTTTTTGAAACGAGCGGCTAACAACTACACTATAGGACTTCACAACATAGGATCATTAGCTTATGGCTGTTTCTACACTAAGTTATTTTTTGCTATTCAATCATAAGAGAATACAGACTTACACTTTCATTTTGGATTCTAGAAAAGGATGTGTAAGGAACAAGAAATTTTGAGACTGTGCTTCCATCGGGGCAGGAAATTCGAATGCTTTTCTGCAAAGGAAAAAAAAACAATCATAGAATTGTGCAGCACAAAAAGAGGCCATTCGGCCCATCGAGTCTGTGCCAACTCTTTGAAAAGAGCAATGTAATGTCAATCCCACTCCCCAGCCCTTTCCCCATAACCCTGCAAACCCGTCCTCCTCAAATACCCATCCACCCACCACGTTTTTAAAAGTAGTTATCGAATCGGCCTCGACCGCCCTTTCAGGCAATGCATTCCAGATTTGAACAACTCGCTGCGTGAACACATTTCTTCTCACCTCCCCTCGGCTTCTTTTAGAGACTGTTTTGAATCTGTGACCTCGAGTCACCGACACACCCACCAGTGGAAACAGTTTTTCCTTTTCTAACCTATCCAATCCCCTCATGATTCTGAAGACCTCTATTAGGTCTCCTTGTAACCTTCTTTGCTCCAATGAGAATAACCCCGGCCTCTCCAGCCTTTCCTCATCATCACGGTCCCTCATTCCTGGTACTATCCTCGTAAATCTCCTCTGCACCCTTTCCAATGCCTTAACATCCTTCCTATAGTGTGGTGCCCAGAACTGGGCGCAGTATTCTAACTGAGGCCTAACCAGTGTTTTATATGGGTTAATCATAACCTCCTGATTCTTGTACTCTATACCCCTATTTATAAAGCCTAGTATTTCATATGCCCTTTTTAGACCTTTATCTACCTGTCCTGCCACCTTCAAGGATTCATTTACCTGCACCCCCAGGTCTCTCTGTTCTTTAACCCCCCTTAAGATTGTATTACCGCCTATATTGCCCCTCATTCTTTCTACCAAAATGCATTACTTTGCATTTCTCCACATTGAAATTCATCTGCCATGTGTCGCCCATTTTACCATTCTGTCTATGTCTTCCTGCAGTTGGCTCCTATCCTTCTCACTGTTTACTCCCCTACCTAACTTTGTGTCGTCCACAAACTTGGAAATGGTACTTGCTATACCCAAGTCCAGATCATTTATGTATATTAAGAAGAGCAGTGGTCCTAATACCGATCCCTGGGGGATGCCACTGTACACTCAGTCAGAAAAGCAGCCATTCACCACTCTCTGCTTTCTGTCTCCCGGCCAGTTCTGGATCCATACTGCCACTGTCCCTTTTATACCATGGGCTTCTATCTTTCTTACATGCACAATAATATAAAGCATAATATAAGTATAATGATCTGAAATCATTCACTTTGTTTGTTTGGAGAGAGGGAACAAAACACACAGAGAAAGATTTCACCTTTGTAACTTCGGTTACTTCAAATCCTTCTGAGGCCGTGACCACCAGCACACCATCTTTGTCAACCCCTTGACACTTCAGGGAGCCATATATGGTAGGTTTTCCTAAATCGTTAAACAATGACATGAAGGATTGAATTGTCCACGAAAAGAAATGTTCCTCAAATGTGAGATGACCACAAATCTATGCAAGACATCCAAAAACCTTAGGCAAGTTTCCTTACTCAAAACCTTAGGCAAGTTTCCTTACTCCGCATACCTATGTTTACCAAGCATTAAGTTGGAACCCGGTTTGTTAGTCGATTGGTGGATCGTTAACCGGGAAAATAAATCCCTCAAAAAAATAAAATAATTTGGTCACTTAATCCACAACTGTATGTGGGACATTGCAATTGACTGCCGCGTTTCGCCTACAAAATACACAGTCAATCCACTTTACAGTTTTATCTGTGAAACACTTTGAGACATCTCAATGATGTGATAAGATGCTATGTCAAATGCAATGATTATTATTATATCAATTACAAACAATCTGTTGCATTATAACTTGCCTCATACTGAGTTTACAAACAGCATGAGTCAAAGATCACAGAAACAATGTGCAGACAACTTCAGGCAATGTACAATCTATGAAAATTAGATCACTGTGGCATCAGCACTGAGCTGAACTATAACAGTATTGTGAACCCCTTGTATTCACCCTCAGAATGACAACTTCAGAATCCAAAACACCTGACTGTATATTAATTTAGCCTGAAGCTGGTTGGTCTGTCATCCTAAATTTCTACTTGGCTTGTAAACCGTTCAGCTCTGTACTTCAATAAACCTTTGATATTACCATTCCCGATGGCTCAGCAGGTCACTGTACCATGTGGTGTAGTTCAGATTCAAAGATCAGAAGGGCTCCAGGTTTGATTTGAGGTCTGTACTGAGCTCGCTGACGCTGGTGGTAAGGGCATTATAATTTGCATCAGTTGGGGCTCTTGCTCCTGAACGGTAATAATAATATTCCTTGCATTTAATATAGCACCTTATCATGTCGTTGAGACGTCTCAAAGCACTTCACAGAATATACTATAAAGTGAATTGACTGTATATTTGTGGGCGAAACGCGACAGCCAACTGCGCACAACAGTGTCCCACAAACAGTCATGGATTGAGTGACCAAATTATTATTATTTATTTAGGAATTGTAGTACTACGCAACTCCTATCGAAAGCTCATTATGTGGACATCTATTAAAAAAACAGTATAGGGCTCAGCTGTGGCTGTATTCTAATGGTTGAAATAGCCTTGGATCACTCGCAATAAACTAAACCAAGTACCAGAAGACCACTGTTACTTGTCGGCTGTCTTAAATTACCACTTTCTGGAGGGGACAAAGGATGGGACCAAAAAATGATTTTGTTCATATCACAAACTGCTGTGTGCAATTGGCTGCCGAGTTTTTCCCACAAGATACACAATCCACTTTTCAATATATTCTGTGAAGTGCTTTGAGACGTCTCAACGACATGATAAGGCACTATATCAAATGCACAGCCGTGGGGCAGTGGAAGACTGTGTGTTCAGTTCTTTTTCTCTGCCTTACAAAAAAAACGAGAATACGTTTAGCATTTATACATTTCATACAAAGATATGAAAACAAATTTGCACTTGGTAAGAAATATTTTAGTGGTGAAGGAGCCCTCTCGAAGAGGCGCTGCTTTAATTACAAGGAGGAATATCTGATAGCGCATCATATCATTTTCATCACAACCACCGTTTACAGTGAGTTGTTAAGAATATGGCTTTATCACAAGTCCTATTGAGGCAGAGATTGTAACATTTTAGAAAGGAATCAGATTAACATTTGAAGGATTTGCATGGGGAGAAACAGCAGAGAATTGGAATTAAAGTAGAAAGCTTCTGTGAATTAACCAGCACTAGTTTAAGATGACTGAACCAAATGGCCTTTTCCTATGCTTAAATCTATGATTTGATGCAAAAGCAATTACATAATTGGATAATAATAATCCTTGCATTTGATACAGTGCCTTATCACGTCTTCTAGACATCTCAAAGCGCTTCACAGAATATACTGTAAAGTGAATTGACCGTATATTTGTGGGTGAAACGTGGCAGCCAATTGCACACAACAGTGTCCCACAAACAGTCCTGGATTAGGTGACCAAATTATTTTTTTTTGAAGGGATTATGATTATCCCAGAAAAGAAACTGCTAAGTAAACAGAGGCGTGTGGAGTAAGGAAATTTGCCCAACATTTCGCCCTGCCCGGGAATCCAACCCAGGTAACTTTCGCTTGCGAGGCGAGCGCTCTGACCACTGAGCTACAGGACTCCACGTCAATAGGCGGTTTTCACTTGTTGACAAGTCCAAAACAAAAAGAGTATACATTTAAGATACGGAAAACAGGTCTAAAAGGGACTTTAGGAGGAACACCTTTACGCAGAGGGCAGTAAGAATGTCGAAGGTGCTCTTTGTTGGAAGTCGTCATTGATGTAAAATGCATATTAATAATTTTGTTCAGGAGGACGTCTCAAAGCATTGCAGTGCAAAATGGAGTGATGGTGTATTTCTGTGGGCGATCACATCAACGTACTTAAGAAGAGAGTTGATGCACTGAGTAGAAAGAGCTGTATCGAAGAGGGGTATCGGAGTGGCAAACTACTCTGCCAGTGTTTATATGCCACTCTGTGTAACTCTATGCACAGACTAATGGGCCAATGATCTGTTTTTCACCCCTTATCATTTTTTTACGCGGAATTGCAGCTCGTGTTCCCTCCTGGACCGGACTCCGTGAGCCGATCACCCCCTCCTCGGCGGCTCCACGTCCCCCAGGGGGTCGCGGTTTAAAATCCTCGTCCTCACTTTCAAAGCCCCTCCACAATCTTCCTCCTTCTCGACCTCTGTGACCCCCGAAAACCTTACCAACCTGTCCGCCCCCTCCTTCCGCTCGGCGAGCTGCCCTTCTGCCCCACTCTCCGGACCTCCACGCTGGAGCCCCTGGACCTGCCCCCCCCCCCTCTGCTTCCTTCAAGTCTCGTCTCAAGACCTTCCTTTTCGATCGTGCCTTTGGTCAACCTCCTACAGCCCCCCCCCCACCCAGACTAACAGCCCCCCCCCAACTCCCAGCGAGGGTGCAAACCCTTCACTGTCCAGCGCCTCGGGGGGGGGGGGGGGGGGGGGGGCTGTTAGTCTGTGTGTGTGTGTGTGGGGGGGGGCTGTTAGTCTGTGTGTGTGTGTGTGGGGGGGGGGGGGCTGTTAGTCTGTGTGTGTGTGTGTGTGGGGGGGGGGCTGTTAGTCTGTGTGTGTGTGTGTGTGTGTTAGTCTGTGTGTGTGTGTGTGTGTGTGTGTGTTAGTCTGTGTGTGTGTGTGTGTGTGGGGGGGGGGCTGTTAGTCTGTGTGTGTGTGTGTGTGGGTGTTAGTCTGTGTGTGTGTGTGTGTGGGGGGGGGCTGTTAGTCTGTGTGTGTGTGTGTGGGGGGGGGGGGGGCTGTTAGGCTGTGTGTGTGTGTGGGGGGGGGGGGCTGTTAGGCTGTGTGTGTGTGGGGGGGGGCTGTTAGGCTGTGTGTGGGGGGGGTCTTACCGGGTATTTTGCAGGAGAGCCAGGCCTCCCGCTCTCTCTCCCTGGGGAACAGAAACACAGG